CCAAGCCGCCGAGTACATAAACCGCAAGGGGTACTTTTCAATAGTGCTGCAAGCTCTGGTGGATCACAAGGGATGTTTCACCAACATCAACGTGGGATGGCCGGGAAAGGTGCATGATGCTCGCATCTTCAGGAACTCTGGTCTGTTTCAAAAGCTGCAGGAAGGGACTTTATTCCCAGACCAGAAAATAACTGTTGGGGATGTTGAAATGCCTATATGTATCCTTGGGGACCCAGCCTACCCCTTAATGCCATGGCTCATGAAGCCGTACACAGGCAGCCTGGACAGTAGTCAGGAGCTGTTCAACTACAGGCTGAGCAAGTGCAGAATGGTGGTAGAATGTGCATTTGGACGTTTAAAGGTGCGCTGGCGCAGTTTACTGACTCGCTTAGACCTCAGTGAAACCAATATTCCCACTGTTATTACTGCTTGCTGTGTGCTCCACAATATCTGTGAGAGTAAAGGGGAGACATTTATGGCGGGGTGGGAGGTTGAGGCAAATCGCCTGGCTGCTGGTTACGCGCAGCCAGACACCAGGGCGGTTAGAAGAGCACAGGAGGGCACGGTACGCATCAGAGAAGCTTTGAAAACCAGTTTCATGACTGGCCAGGCTATGGTGTGAAAGTTCTGTTTGTTTCTCCTTGATGAAACCCCCCGCCCCTTGGTTCACTCTACTTCCCTGTAAGCTAACCACCCGCCCCTCCTCCCTTCAATCACCGCTTGCAGAGGCAATAAAGTCATTGTTGCTTCACATTCATGCATTCTTTATTCATTCATCACACAAATAGGGGGATGACTACCAAGGTAGCCCAGGAGGGGTGGTGGAGGAGGGAAGGAAAATGCCACACAGCACTTTAAGCACAGCACTTTAAAAGTTTACAACTTTAAAATTTATTGAATAACAGCCTTCTTTTTTTTGGGCAATCCTCTGTGGTGGAGTGGCTGGTTGGCCGGAGGCCCCCCCACCGCGTTCTTGGGCGTCTGGGTGTGGAGGCTATGGAACTTGGGGAGGAGGGCGGTTGGTTACAGAGGGGCAGCAGTGGCAGTCTGTGCTCCAGCTGCCTTTGCTGCAGCTCAACCATACACTGGAGCATACTGGTTTGGTCCTGCAGCAGCCTCAGCATTGAATCCTGCCTCCTCTCATCACGCTGCCACCACATTTGAGCTTCAGCCCTGTCTTCAGCCCACCACTTACTCTCTTCAGCCCGCCACTTACTCTCTTCAGCCCGCCACCTCTCCTCCCGGTAATTTTGTGCTTTCCTGCACTCTGACATTATTTGCCTCCACGCATTCGTCTGTGCTCTGTCAGTGTGGGAGGACAGCATGAGCTCGGAGAACATTTCATCGCGAGTGCGTTTTTTTTTCTTTCTAAGCTTCACTAGCCTCTGGGAAGGAGAAGATCCTGTGATCATTGAAACACATGCAGCTGGTGGAGAAAAAAAAAGGGACAGCGGTATTTAAAAAGACACATTTTATAAAACAGTGGCTACACTCTTTCAGGGTAAACCTTGCTGTTAATATTACATACATAGCACATGTGCTTTCGTTACAAGGTCGCATTTTGCCTCCTCCCACCGTGTGACTACCCCCTCAACCTTTCCCCCTCCCTGTGGCTAACAGCGGGGAACATTTCTGTTTAGCCACAGGCAAACAGCCCAGCAGGAATGGGCTCCTCTGAGTGTCCCCAGAAGAAAAGCACTCTATTTCAACCAGGTGACCATGAATTATATCTCACTCTCCTGAGGATAACACAGAGAGATAAAGAACGGATGTTGTTTGAATGCCAGCAAACATACACTGCAATGCTGTGTTCTACAATGTTTCCCGAGTACGTGTTTCTGGCCTGGAGTGGTAAAGTGTCCTACCATGAAGGACGCAATAAGGCTGCCCTCCCCAGAAACCTTTTGCAAAGGCTTTAGGACTACATCTAGGAGAACCGCAAATGCCAGGGCAAAGTAATCCTTTCACATGCTTGCTTTTAAACCATGTATAGTATTTTAAAAGGTACACTCACCAGAGGTCCCTTCTCCGCCTGCTGGGTCCAGGAGGCAGCCTTGGGTGGGTTCGGGGGGTACTGGCTCCAGGTCTAGGGTGAGAAACAGTTCCTGGCTGTCGGGAAAACCGGTTTCTCCGCTTGCTTGCTGTGAGCTATCTACAACCTCCTCCTCATCATCATCTTCTTCGTCCCCAAAACCTGCTTCCGTATTGCCTCCATCTCCATTGAAGGAGTCAAACAACACGGCTGGGGTAGTGGTGGCTGAACCCCCTAAAATGGCATGCAGCTCATCATAGAAGCGGCATGTTTGGGGCTCTGACCCAGAGCGGCTGTTCGCCTCTCTGGTTTTCTGGTAGGCTTGCCTCAACTCCTTCAGTTTCACGCGGCACTGCTTCTGGTCCCTGTTATGGCCTCTGTCCTTCATGCCCTGGGAGATTTTGACAAAGGTTTTGGCATTTCGAAAACTGGAACGGAGTTCTGATAGCACGGATTCCTCTCCCCAAACAGCGATCAGATCCCGTACCTCCCGTTCGGTCCATGCTGGAGCTCTTTTGCGATTCTGGGACTCCATCATGGTCACCTGTGCTGATGAGCTCTGCATGGTCACCTGCAGCTTGCCACGCTGGCCAAACAGGAAATGAGATTCAAAAGTTCGCGGTTCTTTTCCTGTCTACCTGGCCAGTGCATCTGAGTTGAGAGTGCTGTCCAGAGTGGTCATAATGGAGCACTCTGGGATAGCTCCCGGAGGCCAATACCATCGAATTGTGTCCACAGTACCCCAAATTCGAGCCGGCAACGCTGCTAAATTCGACCTAAAGTCCTAGTGTAGACCAGGGCTTAGACTCCATTCCTGTTCTGTCCCTGGCAAAAGCAGCATACAGACAGACACAGACCCTTTGTTTTTCTCCCTCCTCCCAGCTTTTAAAAGTATCTTGTCTCCTCATTGGTCATTTTGGTCAGGTGCCAGCGAGGTTACCTTTAGCTTCTTAACCCTTTACAGGTGAGAGGATTTTTCCTCTGGCCAGGAGGGATTTTAAAGGGGTTTACCCTTCCCTTTATATTTATGACAGGAACAGTTGAGAGAGAGAGAGAGAGAGAGAAGAAAGTTCATGTAGAAGGCAGTTATTTCCATAGCAATGCTATGAACTAATTTAAGTTTTTGTAACTCTCACAAGAATCCCCCTTTTTTTTCTCTCCTGTGTCTGTACTGAGCAGAGCCCGCAGGATAGCCTTTTTCATGCTGCAGTCTTTTGAAACAGCTGGCCTGCGGGCTAGGGGAATAAGAGGGAGTGACAGATTATCAGTAAAGCAGTACGTAAGCAATTTATTTATGACAAAAATAAATGATGCAGGGGGCATTCTATGTGAAAACCTGCATTGCCTGGGTTTAATGCTGATGGGTGTGGACTACAACTTCTTCCTTCTTTACTTAAAGCCTGAAATAGTGGTGTTTGCTTTGTGAGACCTTCCATAAACTTTTGGTGGACTTTGTAGCACTGCAGAGCTGTTTTGTGGACCTTGCCTTTGGTATGGAGTACCTGAAGTTGCGTGAGATCACCCCCACAGATTTTCAATACTTTTCAGTACAATATACTTTATGGGCTAGATCTTCAGTAGGTGTATTTCAGTAATTTATACCATCTGAGGATCTAGCGCTGTATGAATCCCAGAACTGAAATCCCAACAGTTATTTGCACTGTAATTTTGCAACAGTTAACGTATAATAATAACACTTAGCCCATACGTAGGGCTCTACCAAATTCAATGTTATGAAAAACACATCATGAACCATGAAATCTGTTCTCCCCCCTGTGAAATCTGGTGTTTTGTGTGCTTTTACCATATATTATACAGATTTCATGGGGGAAACCAACAAATCTCAAATTGGGGGCCTGACCAAAAAGGGAGCTGCAGGGGACTTGGTATTGCCACCCTTACTTCTGCGCTGCCTTTTGAGCTGGGTGGCTGGAGAGCGGCAGATGTTGGTTGGGCACCCAGCTCTGAAGGCAGAGCCCTGCCAGTAGCAGTGCAGAGGTAAGGGTGGCAATACCGTTCCACGCCACCGTTGCTTCTGTGCTGCTGCCTTCAGAGCTGGGCGGCTGGAGAGCGGCGGTTGCTGACTGAGGGCTCAGCTCTGCAGGCAGCAGCCCAGAAGTAAGGGTGACAATACCGTACCATACCAGGCCGTCCTTACTTCTGTGCTGCTGCTGGCGGTGGCGCTGCCTTCAGAGCTGGGCTCCCGGCCAGCAGCGGCTGCTCTCCAGCTGCCCAGCTCTGAAGGCAGCAGAGCCGTCGCCAGCAGCAGCACAGAAGAAAAGGTAACAGTACTGCGACTCCCTGTATAATAACCTTGCAACTCCCCCCACAACTCCTTTTTGGGTCAGGACCCCTACAATTACAACACCATACATTTCAGATTTAAATAGCTGGAATCGTGAAATGTGTGATTTTTAAAATCCTATGAATGTAAAATTGACCAAAATGGACTGTGAATTTGGTCGGGCCCTACCCATAAGTGCCAATTTCATCTTCAAGGTTCTTTACAAACATTATTTAATCTGTACATAAATACCTCTGAGCAATAATGCAAAATTAAAAACTCTTGGTTTCAAAGCAGACACTTGAGGATATCCCAGGTTAAGTTTCATTTCAGGGATTCCCTTGTTGTTCAACTGCCCCCAAAATGTTCGCTCTCTGTTGCCAAGAGTTACTGTGGGTTAAGCTTATATGAGCTAGAAATATAAAAAGACAATAAAATTCCAGTTGCATGATAACTGAATCAATATTGTCCTGTATCCTGTATGCCGGATTCCCAATTTTACTATGACAAACAACTATGTCTGTTTACTTTCTTATCTCAGTAAACGTTACACCCATTTTGTTTCCTCCTGCTCCTCCTTCTCACTTTACATGTCCTCCACTGTGATGGCATTAATTGTACCAAAGGGCCTTATATAAAGAGAGGTTTTCTGAAGACGTTTTCAGTGCAAGCAGCTTAGCCACCATGGGGCTAAGACTTGCCAGCCTTTTTGCACTGTGGCTGGCTCTTTCCTGTGCGAACGAAATTAAAAAAGGTAAGAGCTAGAAATGGGATGGTGAGGAATTTCCCACTAGAAAAGGGTGGAAAGATTTAACTAGTGTAGTTAAGAAAAAGCTAAACACGCGATGAAATAATTAAAGGGAATATTATGGTATCAAATATCTCCCTTCATTTTTAACATTCAAATGCTGAGACCAAATGTATGAGCTGAAATAGATGCGACTTCTTTTGGTGGAAGATTCTATAGTTTTCTTTCTGAGCTCTGTGGCTGGCTGAATCCATTATGTTGATCTCCAGCTTGATGTATGTGATGAAGTAACAATTGCCTAGCATGAAGGTTTGCAGGAGTTAGGCAGGTTCCGAGCAATAGCAACCGAGAAAGGGGATGAGTGTCATAAGGAAAACTCTGCATTTGGGCTATTCAGAAATAGCAGTATATGCTTTCTTGTCCAAAAGATGTATATAGTGTTAACACTTGGACTAGCTCATTTTTAACCCATTACTTCAGCAATCCTAGTCCATGATCTCTTAATCTACCTTTCTAAAAGAATGAGTCTCCGACTTAATTTGCTTGAGGTGTTAGGATGAATATGTATTATTGAAAAATAGCAAATATTTTGGTACAGCTGGGTGATGCTTTCCTGTGCAGGTGATCAGGGGGTTGGATCCTGGGAATGGTCCCTTCTTGAATATGCTATGGCTAGGAGAGCACCTGATGTTAGTAATTGGAAAGAAGGGAACACATTGCATTGCTTTCCAATCCCACTCTTTAGTGGATGCAAGAATCAGCGTTGATGGGCTTTGGAAGGATGAATGTGAACCTGTCCTTAAATGAAGAGGGGGATGCTGCAACACAAGGATTTGTTTGGATGGAGTAGAAAGTAGAGAAATTAGGAGATCTAAAGGATCCCTGCACTTCTCCCAAAGCAAACAATATCTGTATGTAACCCACACACCTCTTGGGTGTAGTGTTCTGTCCCATCTAGTGGCACCGAGACCACTTAAAGAGAGTAGAGATTGAGTCTGCTCTACAGTCTTAGCTAATGCCCAGTTGGCTTTTAGCTCATGTGGTAGAGGCTCATGCACTATGCTCCAGACACCCCAGGTTTGATCCCGCCCACCGACAACCAGGGTCTGTCGGTGTTACATATAGATCTCTGGAGAAAGTGAGCCTCAAAGTAGACCCATGAACTGAAAATGTGATGCTCTGCTGTGTGTATTACATACAGCATATCTTGATGCCTTTAAATATGAATTGTTCAAGGGGACCTATGGTTTTGTTCACTCAATTTAAAAAAAAGTTAACCTAGTGTTTATGAATGTGAGGTGTGCTGATGCTTGCTTGGCTGCTTCCCTTACCACACATAGCTCTGACAATGAACCTCAAACCTAATCTACAACAATCCCTGCAATTCCAGTTTTGAGAATGGTTTGTAGGTTGTGCTAAATTTGTGTCAGTTACTGTTGTGGACAAATGGTGGTGGAATGAGTTTGAGACTTCCAAACATTTGGTAGCTATTGCTTTCTTCTTACCGTCCTGACATAATTTAGTTGTTGTCTTATCTTGAGTTCTTGTGAATATCGATGGTACTCCAAGTCATAATTTTTAATGGAAATAATGAATTCACACTTGGAATTTGGATTACATAAGGGATTAATTCCTATAAAGAAAGTATCTTGCAAAAAAATTGGAAAAGTGACAAAAATAATTAGAATAAATTAATAGACTTGGCCTGAGCCTACATTAATGGTATGGGAGTGTCATATGACAGGAGTGTTAAAGCTTCTCAGTAGAGCTGGGAAAATAACTGATTTATTTTGTTTACTCGCAGTTCTGAAAAATAAATAAATAACAAAATTGCTTTGGGTCAAACCAAATGTCAAATTCTGAAAAAATTCAGTGAATCAAAAAAGTCAACAGAAATTATTTTAAGTTGAATAGAGCATTAGGTTTCATTTTTGAACATTTTAACAATAACAAGCAAGGGAAATTAAGAGGTTAGATTCATAAAAAGGCCAAAGAGGATCCTCCTTTAGCCCAGTGGTTAGGGCACTCACCTGGCCTGTTCCCTAACTGCTGGGCTATCAGCTATTCCGGGGGGAGGGGTGTCCCTCAGTTTCTCCTGTTAAAGCTATTCCATTTTGTATAAAATACTTGACTAGTCATTGGGCCAGAGAGAGAGGGTATGCCAATGACTCTTTATCCCGGTTATGGCAGACTCTGGCAATGTGGGATACCCAAGTTCAAGTCCCTGCACTACATTAGGCAGAGGGGGGGAGATGGAGCCCAGGTTTCCTACATTGCAGGGGAGTGCCCTAACCACTAAGGGTTCTAAGGTATAAAGGAGTTGCCACCATTTCTTCTTCTGTGAATGGAGCCTGAGTCCCTTTGTGAATAGAACCTCCCTACATTATTTGAGACAAACCTATTTGGCAACTTTGTTCAAATTCAGAAATAGTTTTGGGCTTACTGAAACTGCTTTTTTCAGTGAATAAACTATTTGTGCAACCAATTGTGCCCATTTCTGCTTCTGAGTTTCGACAGGCAAGTGCTCTCACCCCTCACACATGCAGTCAGAACTCCAAGAGGTATCCAGGCCCCAGCTGCATGTAAAAATGCACGACTCTCAGCCAGAGAGATGCACATATCATTTGTTTATTATGCTAACACTGAGGATTTGGTGTTTTGGCAAATTGTTGAGTATATATTTATAAATGGCTTGTTCTGTATATATAGCAGATTATCTTCTTGTGTAAACCTAGTAGCATGCCATAGATGAATCGTTTAAGTATCATTCCTTAGCTGTCTTGTTGTGTAATGTTGATTATTATCAATGGGTGCTAGCTACTTTATTTCACTTTCTTCATCCCTTCTCCATCACTTAACAGGCAGAACCCAAAACCATGGCCACTATGTCTGCAGTACCTGGGGGAACAATCATTTCAAAACTTTTGATGGAGACTTCTACCAGTTCCCTGGCCTCTGTGATTACAACTTTGCTTCTGACTGCCGAGGGTCTTACCAGGAATTCTCAGTCCATGTCCAGCGTGCTGTGAATGAAAATGGACACCCTGAAATGCAATATGTCCTGATCACCATAAAGGATGTTGCAATGTACCTCACCCGAAATACGGTTGTGGTGGATCAGGAAATGTGAGTTCTAGTATTATAATTCTTGAAAGAATGTCCAGTAAGATGCTTCCATAGACAAACAGAACTGTACAATATGTAGCATTAAGATATCTATTGTGAGCCTTTCACCAGGCAAAAGAAATTCTGGGGAAGGAACACAATATTGCTTATAGACCCACTAAAGCGAATGAGACACTTACTAGGTAAGGTAGTGGCACTGGATTAAGGGTGCCAGAACCTGGATCAGGTTTAACAGATTTTAACATGATCAAATAAATATGTACCCCTCTGTTGTCATTGCTGCCTCTAACTAGAGCCCAGGTTTTATTAAAAACGGTCAAACCCACTCCAGTGAATGCCTACTAAGGAATAGAAAATAGCGTTCTATTTTCCAGGCACCAAGCCAGAATATATTCAGAAATATCATGAAGTTTTTTGACATATATTACTGCCAAAAATGAGAGATTGCTTAGTTGTGCACAAAAGTGTTAAAAAGAAATTCACAAGCAGCTTTTTAGGGGTCTTTTAAAGATTGCTTTCCTATGCACTGAACCTATTCTTCTCCTATGTATTGTTCATAAAACAATAAAACCCTAATAAAAGAAGACTTGTGGAACAGGTTTTCACTGTATATAGGATTCAGTGTTCTATAGACTTTCATACTCTTTAAACCATACCTGTGGCACATGTCCCACTACATGCCAATGCAATGAAAGCTATAGAATTTTTAAAGTGCCTGGGGAGGACCCAATCCATTGACTACCAACACAAAATTAATACTGGATATTGTGGTAATCAGATAGCTCTTCAGATGCTGATTTGGTGACATCTGGTTTCCAAGTTATATCTTAATATTGAATGATTTGGGGATCATGCTCTGCCTAGGGGAGATGGGCTGGGTCTGAGTTCAGCACTCAGACTTAGTCCTCCACCACTGGTGGTACTTCTGCAGCTTCGAAGGGGTCCTGAGATATCAATCAGCAGAGGGCAGGAAAGAGTGAGTCTCTTAGGGCTGGTCTACACCGCACAGTTAGGTCGACATAAGGCAGCTTCTGTCAACCTAATTATGTCAGGGTCTGCACTACAGTGAGAAGCCCTGGCAGCTTCGGAACCCGCTCCCAGCTGGGAGCCACAGCAAGAAGCCCTGGTGCCCTCCCCCCCTGCCACTGGGAGCGGGGCAGCCTTGTCAATTTCAAATTGACAAGGCTGCCCGGCTCCTGGTGGGGAGCAGGGTGGGGGTGCCAAGGGTGGGGGTGGGTGGGGAGCAGGGGGGGCAACTGGACCCCGCTCCCCGAGGGCAAGAAGCCCTAGGCGGCTTCCCCCAGCTCCCAGCGGGGAAGGGGGAAGGAAGAGGAGGCAGTTCACCGGGAACCTGGGAGTTTGTGGGGCAGCCAGGATCCCAGCAGGGAGCTCCCAGCAGAGCTGAGAGGGCTCTCCTGGTAGAGCACTCCTGTTGAGGACCTGCACCACTGACCCAAGGAGGGTAGTGTGAACATGCACCACTGCAGTAATTACTAGTTTATATTACATTTCTAGTGTCGACATATCCTAAGACTTTCTAGTTCTTCTGTGGATCGCCACAGAATTTTGGGCTCCATAGAGCAGATAAAGATTTTTGAAATGCCACTTCTATGCATTTCAATGGCATAGCTGATACAGGCAAGCCAAACACAATCCCATAGCAGGTACTCATAGCCATCCTAGTAAGTGTGGGTCCCCATTGCAAACTCCAGTATCTGCATATAGTTGCATGTTCCACAGAGGCAATCTTCAGAATTAGATTTTTACTACTTTACAGGTACCCTGTATAAGATAAGAAAAGAAACGATTATAAAATCAAAGAATGAAAGAAATAAAATGTACAAAGGTGGAAATTAGAATAGAAGAAAGAACAGTTATTTATGTAAAGGCTTGGTGCTACGGTGTTGGTTCCATAAATGCTACAAAACTCCTCTGTTCTGATTCCCTAGCTTAAAGTCAGCATTAGAAAAAGCTTCATCCCAGAAGACTCCATGCTGTCAAGTAGATGCCTAGTGTTTTACAATTCTCTTTAAAAAATGTTCATGCTCCAATGTTCATGATGTGACCTGTAGCTTGTGGTAGGAATGTCAGTTTCTATTTGGTGTCTAGACCCTAGCTAAAGTGATTGCATGCTTTAGAAATGTGCAAGATGAGTAGTTAGAAAAGCTCTGGCACCAAGAAATTAAGACTTAAAATACTCTTGTGAAAGGCTAGGAAAGAAATTGTGAGAGGGGATGTATGCATGGGCACACACCATTAAACTAGCAATAGCATTTGCTCTGAGAACTGTTTAGAGAAGGAAACAGCTATTCATTGGTTTGGCTGGATTCCAATGTAACTAATTCTGTTTGGTCAAGTGTTGAGCTATTTAAGTTTTACTGTAAGAAGCTGTTTGCGGGAATGCTTTTATCACGGAACCAAGTTCTGCATTGTGGCTTGTGTACAAAGTGAGCATAAGGGAGTCGTGCAACAGCGGGGTGGATATTCAGTGGATCAACGTTTTATCAGTCAACAGCATCTTTGCTCAATCCTCTTTGAGATACTCAGGTCAAATTAATGCCCTCTACTGATTCTATTAATAATTCATCTCTTATTATTAAATTATTAGATTATTGAATTCTGATGCTTTTAAGAAGCTCTTTTCTCCCCACATTTTTCTCCCACCTATGTTGACCATCAGGCCCCATCCCAAATCATGAAGCCATTCTCTCAAATAATAAAGGTTATTTAAAGGGGATATCCAGTCTCCTGAAACAGTATATGATTTTTGGAAAATGAAAGACACTATTCAGTTTCTTGTGCCTATTTGCTATGTGAACCTCAATCATGGGCGAGCAGTGAATATTTGCTTTCCCAGGTTCAGATCCTTTGTTTTGTGCTTTTACTGACTGAATCACATTTCTTCACTGGCATTTTGCCTTCTTTCCTAGCCTGAGATAGAGAATCTATCCCTTTAAGGAGCCCGTGGCTCTGAGATTGCCTTGCCTTGTCATGGTAAATTCCAGATGGCACCAAAATATCAAGTCTGAAATTTTATATGTGATGGCCACAGGAGATAATTGTTATCTAATGAAGTCTGTGCAAGCATCAGGCAGTGAAGTTTTCAAAACTGCCTTGAAATAGGAAGAATCTGAACTGGATTTCTGTGACCAACTGGAATGAATGCTGATTAGAGCAATTTAAACCGGTCAAACAAAATATAACTTACCTCAGCAAGTATCTGAAGGGAAGGGGATTTAATTCCCCGCTAAACAGAGTCTGTCCTATACAGCAGAGAACAGCTGTGTGGGACTCAGAGATGGAGGCCAGAAAAGTGTAATCTGCAGAGCCTGGTTCTTCCATGTCCTTTGATGTTCCTCTTGCAGCACCTAAGACATTCAGTTTACTGCTTTTTTGTTTTCTACATTAGATCTAGTAACAAATCTCTGACTGTCTTCTTCTCAGTGTAACAACACCATACTATAGTTCTGGTTTGCTGATTGAGAGCAATGAAGTCTACACTAAAGTCTATGCAAGAGCGGGCCTTGTTCTAATGTGGAACCGTGAAGATTCACTGATGGTATGTATGACACTAAACTTTACTTTTGCTACTATTCGGTTTTAACAAATTAGCATAGGTTGAACAGAGTCATTGCGTTAAGCAGCCTCTTCCAACTGGGAATGGAGATAGTTTATTCTCAGGTGAGAAGGTTCCTTTGTCCATTATGTGACTGGAGTTGGGCATAGAAATGAACATTTCTTCACTCTCAAGAGAAGATGAGACGGGAATGAGAAACAGCTAATATTTTGGTTAAAAAGTCCTAACAAATTCTGATCTGCAATCCGTTTGTTTGTCCCTTGGATTGCTGTGCTCTGTTATTCAGCTTCCCAGCAAGGAATAAATTCACCCCTTAAGGGGAAAAGTTTTTTATTTAAAGCACATTTTCTTCCTAAGCTTTGACATAATGTTGACAAGAGGCACCATCATGGTATAGTAACGTCTCACATTCTTCCATGATACGTTTTTATTTTCCCCTGGTAATTGTTTGCATTGGATGGTGCTACTATTATGTTAGATGTACTGAAACCTAATTTACAATGGAGAGGCATTCACTATCTCTCCTCTATTAACTTCCCCTCCTAGTGAATTTATTCTTGTTGGGAATGTTTTTTTTTAGCACTACAGCTGATTTTCTTTCTGGTTTTGTTTTCATTATTTAGTTGGAGCTGGATCCCAAGTTTAACAACAATACATGTGGTCTTTGTGGGGATTACAATGGACAGCAGCTCTACAATGAATTTCTCTCTAACGGTAAGTGGTCTGATAGTCTATAGAGATACCATATAAGGCAGGCTTATAGATATTGTATGTGGAAGCATCAAAGAGGGCAAAGGTAGAATTTACAGTACAGGAACTTAAATTCTGTCTGAGATTTTCCAGGGATTGCTACGAGATACAGAGATAAATTATTAATAGTGTACTATATTCCATGTGAATCAGCTGATTCTGTGGCGTCTCTGTTGGTGTAGGCCAGTGGTTCTCAAACTTTTGTACAGGTGACCCCTTTCACATAGCCAGCCTCTGAGTGCGACCCCCTTTGTAAACTAAAAACACTTTTTAATATATTTATCACCATTAAATGAGGTCCCTTCCAACCCTGATATTCTATTAGAGCCAGAAGCAATTTGCTGGAGGCAAAGCGGATTTTGGGGTGGAGGCTGACAGCTCGTGACCCCCCCCCATAATAACCTCGTGACCCCCGGAGGGGTCCCGACCCCCATTTGAGAACTTCTGGTGTAGACTTTCTCACTTGTTGGAATATTAGTGAGCTTTTCATGTCCTTCTGAAATGGATTTTCTTAATAGTATTAAAATAGTCAGTACAGTGCCTGATATATAATGAACAGTTTGCTTGATCACTAGAGTGCCAGGAATCAGATGTGTATTGTTAAGTTTGCTGTGTTTATCAAGACTTTTTTACATCTCCCTCACAGACATGATCTTCAATCCCATCACATTTGGAAATATGCAAAAGATAAACAAACCCAACACATTATGTGAGGACCCTGATGAAACACAGACTGTCTCAACCTGTAATCAGCATGTGAGTAATCATAGTGGTCAACTTTACTTAGCTGGCAGGTGGAGACATTCCTTGCAATATGGGGAGACCACTGAGTGTGGAGATGGGTAACAGCCTGAACTTTCCAAGGCACATACCGTGTCCCTAACTAACTCCAAAGGCATTAACATTGTTATGCCTTCTAAAAGGAGGAGTAGAACTGATGAAAGATCTTAGTTGCATGTGTGTTGTTTCTGACACAGAATTATCCAGAGATAACCTAAGACTTGGACCCATCCCTCTTTTGCAACCATTAGTGATGTCCAGAAGCAAAGCACCATTTTAGCACAAAGGATCCTCTCTAGAAACTCAGGTGCCAGGGATGCCTTTTAAACTTTTCTTCCCCCCCCCCCACCTCTTTAGCGTGATGAGTGTCTGAATCTGCTGACTTCTTCAGTATTCGCTGACTGTGAGTTCCGTCTGAACCTGGAGAAGTACGTTCAAGCCTGTATGCAGGATAAGTGTGCCTGCCAGGGAGCCGAGGATTCCTTCTGCCTCTGTAGCACCATCTCTGAGTACTCTCGCCAATGTTCCCATGCTGGTGGCCGGCCTGGAAGCTGGAGGACAGAAGAATTTTGCCGTAAGCATCTTCCCAAACTTGGCAGAGCAATCAGTTCATCCTGGGTGAAATATTTAAAACTGCTCATCTTGTATATTTCCTGTTTCCCCCTCCCTTGCCTTTGTTATTAAGGACATTTATTGGAAGTAGAAATTATGTTCCAATGGAAAGCCATATGGTTTGATCCTGCTCCCAGTGAAAGTAATGGGATTTTTTGCCATTAGTTACAGTGGAAGCATGATTAGGATCACTGTCTTCTGTTCAAGAAGCAAGAAAAGAATGTAGAGAAGAAAAAAAGCGGTTCAGAAATCAAACACATTAAATACATTTGGCCAAATTGCAGCCAACTGAGTCCATTCCACTGATTTCATTGGATCCAATATATGTTCTTTGGTTTCTGTGGAACGCAGAGTTTATATTCAAGTCACTGATCTTTTCTTTCATTATTTTAGCTAAGAGGTGCCCTGGAAACATGATCTACCTGGAAAGCAGCTCACCATGCATTAGCACATGTTCCCATTTGGAGATCAGCAACCTTTGTGAGGAACACTTCATGGATGGCTGCTTCTGCCCTGAAGGTAGGTGTCTCTCTCAGTCCTATATGAGACAATAGGTTTGGATTCAAGTCTCTTCATATACTCCAGAATGTATCTGAAAAAGGCTGTATACTTTACCTTCACTAAAAAAAAAAACATCAAGAAATTCAGGATTGAAATATTCAGTATAAAGCAAGTTACATTTTAGAAATGAATACATTTTACCAGTGGAGTAAATTTGTTCCTGTAAATTAATAAAATTCTAGCATGTTTACAAAAGTCATGCATTAGCTTGGCTTTATTTAACTCACACTAACCCAGTTAGGCTCTTTATTTCTGTCTGTGGCTAGGCCACATGGTTTATGAGACTGTTACCGCCTCTGAACTGAGAGTTGGTCCTTCGGGTTAAGCAGTAGCCATGCATGTTTTTAGATGCAGAGTTTCTGGATTCAGACTCTGTAGGTAACCCAGAGAAGGGGCATAATTACATATATATTATCTCCATGGAGATATTATTAATAATATGTGACAATGAGCTCAAATTTAATAGTCAAGACCCTGTTGCCAACCTTGGAAAATACCTTCACAGTGATAGCACAACAACAATAGTTTAGGTGAATTTTAAATCCAACCATTTAGAATGTGCAGATTTAAGTTGAGATTTTCAAAGTGGCCGAGGGGCTTTAGCCACATAACTTCCATTAAAATATTAATTTAAACATTAAAAACAATGGAAGCTCTGTGGCCTAATCCCCTTTTGATAGCCTCAATTACCATTAATTCTGGGTCCGGTTGAGAGTGTGCCTGCTCCAAGAGTTTCTCCTGGGTTGGTTGGTGCAGGTATTTTGACATGAACTATGAGAGCCTACGGTTGTGTTTTGTAGGAACTGTGTATGATGACATCAGTGGGAAAGGCTGTGTGTCTGTCAACCAATGTCACTGCAAACAGCATGGATTTCTGTATTCACCTGGGCAAAATATCACCAATGAATGTGAAGAATGGTAAGGATTACAATTGACTCTACACCGCTCTCAGAATGACTGTGCACGGGTCTGTCAGTAGAGTTGCTACCTATTTGTATATGTCCTGCTGCAAAAGTCCTGGTGCCTTTACATGTGTTGCAATGTCAAGATGTTATAGTGAGCCAATTTTATGGCATCTTGAGTCTGTAATATGTGGAAGAGGAGAGTTTTAAATAAATAGCCAGTGACAAATTTTCAAAGCACCTAGGGATACTTTGTCCCAACGGTGCTCTGTATACAGATGTTTTTCAGTGCTTTCCGTCGCTCTGACACCTAACCCCATTTTTGATTCCTTATTTATTTGTGTTTCTAGCACCTGTGATTCAGGCAGGTGGGTGTGCAAGCAGTTATCCTGTCCAGGCTCATGCTTAGTGGAAGGAGGTGCTCACATCACCACCTTTGACGGGAAGAAATACACCTTCCATGGAGACTGTTACTATGTGCTGTCCAAGGTACCGTGTATTAAAGGTCTCTTCTCTCAGATAGCAAATATAGATGCATCTGCCTTCTGGTTTAGTGGCTGCAGATCACTGTTTCATTATACTTTTTGAGCCTGGGAAGGAGGACACTGTAGAGTCTATACCAGAGAATTCAAAGTGAGTCATGATCCCCAGTGTCCACTGATGTGGTAGTGAGGGTTTGTGCTCACCTGCTAGACTCTGACTGCCTTAGTCGTTTCCAATTTCATGATGATTATGGAACAGGTTTATGCTACCCAACCCAGTCTCACTTATAAGAGTCCAGAGGAGCACACTGGTGCTAGTGAACAGATGGCTGGACCTGCAACTTGAAGGACTCAGCTCTGCCTAATAGATCTGAAATGAGGATTGGAAGTGTCCTACCTAATCTGTAATATACCTATGCTTGTGTTCAGGTGATATTGAGTCAATCGGAGGGGTGGGGGAGAGGACAGCGAGTTATGTCTTCCCTTTGTCCCTGAAGTGCCTGGTCCCCATTGCTCCAGAGAACAAGGATCTGACTTTATCAACACTTGAATGCTTGCCACTGGAGCTTTGAAAGGAAGTCCTCATTCCGGTGGTAGCACTAGAAAGAAAGTTCTCAAAAGCAAAGCTCTACAGTGTTTGTTAGTTTAACAGATGATTTCAGTCCTCTGTGACAGAAATCAGCTCAGGATACGAAAGGGCTTCCTGTGTGTCATAGACTCGCTGTCCCAGAGTGCTCCTGTGTGGCATGAAACAGCATTTCAGCAACTCCACCTAGCTCTCTTCCTTGGAACGTTAGTGGTCTGGTCTGGTGATGACTTGGCCTTCCAGACAGGTCACACTATAGTTCCATCCCTTCTGAAGTATGAATGTCCCAAACAATGTCTGACAAAATAATGGTAGCAAATATAATGCCTTCCACCTCACCTGGGCTCTTCAGTCTCACTTTGCTTCCAGAGCAGAAGGTCTCAGGCCTTCTCCCTGGAATCCCCCAGTAAAACCCTAAAAACAGACAAAACACAAACTAAGCAACTTCTACCCATCTCAGACTTTAGTCTATCTTAGGTTTCCCCGAGTTCTCCGCTCTTCTGCGGAACTGTTATCCACATGGCGGTCTCTTTGGAGTCCTGCTCTTTTTCAAGGCTCACTCTAGTAGTTAATTGCATGCTTGTAGCCTTCGCCTGGTTCTCTCTCTGCGTGGATCCCACCTGACCCTTCCCACAGAGATGGAAGTCCAGATCATCTCTCTCCTTCTTCCAGCTACACTGAACTCCTTCCTTTTAACCTGGCCCTAGACCAAATGGCGCCCCAGGCGAGGAGCGTCTTTGGCGCCCCCCCTCCATTTGTTAAACTTTTGAATGCCTTACTTTTTATTGCATTTGTAGCCCATTTCATGATTTTGATTCACAATTTGTATGCATGATTTATCCATGTCATATAAGACAATAAATTTGCATGCTAGGATCTGTACAACAAAAACAGCACTCCAAGCCTGGAACCCCAGGCGGTCACCCAGGTAGCCTGCCCCTAAATCCAGCCCTGTTCATTCCTGAGCCTGACACATACTCCAGGTGTAATAATGTGGGGGTAATAAAGCGCTCAGGCTCCAGTTAACCCCTTCTCAGCCAGTGTGGGGTTTATACAACCCATCATACTGTACTAATTTATGTTTTTTTCCACTTTGACTGCAGGAAAGTATAAATGACACTCACGCCCTCCTGGCAGAGCTGTCTCCCTGTGGCTCCACAGACAAACAGACCTGTTTGAAGACTGTTGTGCTGTTAATAGACCACAAGAAAAATGTAAGTGATGTGTGGGGGTCTGCTGGATGAGTGGATTCTATCTATGTATTCCCTGATTCCTCTTTCCCTACTTACTTTTGATAATCTTTTTCTGGGGATCCTGAGTAAGGATGGTTGAATACAGAAAAAATAAAAACCAGTCCAAATGTTTGTACAAATCAGACCAGCTCTGTACAGTCTGAAGAAGTTCAGAGTTAAAAGTTTTTGCTTGACTTTTTCTTCCTTCTCTTTCTTTCTTTTCGCTCTTTCTGGTTCTGCCCAGTGCTGGAAGCATTGTGAGTCTGCTTTCTTGGCATTTCCAGTTTGATTGGAAATAAGAAGTCCTTGATATTTTATTTTGTTGAGATTTAAGTCCAATTTTGCAGACCTAAGATGTTCTGGTTAGGAGTCAAACTCTTGAATACTCATCAAGCCAAGCTTCTCAACTGTTTGAATTTCACTCTTGTTTAATAGTGAAGGGGGAACTTGGAAAGTTCTCACTCTTATTCAATCTGCCCTCCTGCCTAATCTATTTTTTTCTGTTCTGTCTCTCTAATTTATCTCTAATGCTCCCATCATCATAATATCTAGACCTCTGTGAGTTTTCTCTCCTCCTTTCCTGCCATATAGTTCTGGTCTTCTTGGCTCTGGACAGTAACATTTGTGAAACTAGTTATGTTCCCAAAAATACATACTAAAATTTGTATTAAGAATTTCCTGAAGCACTTCCTTATGATTCTACCAATGCTGTACAATTATGTAAGAAATAACACATGGCAAGGTGTGTGCGTATAGCAAATCCCTACACACACTGTTGTCAAGCGCCAAATGCTTTCAGCCACCTGGCAAAATTGGTATCCAGGATAAGTGACTTTCTTGGAGCGTTTTTTCTCTAGTAGAAACTGTTTTAGTATACATTAAAGAGTTGTCTAACAAGCCCAAAGCTTTGTACATGTACTGGATGCTAGGGCAGACAGAATCTTCATTAGCTAATTAGATTGCTCCTTTTTAAAACTGTGACTAGAATATTGAGTTCGTCTGCATAAAGTAGCGTGATCCCTTCTTGTCTCCCCAGTTTCAAGGTTAATGTTTGTGGTCTGTTTCCCTCTGTATACATGAAGTTGCAGTAATTTAAACATGTTCTTTTTGCTTGCACACAGATCTTGGTTTTCAGATCAGACGGCACTGTGCTGCTGAATGAACTGGAAGTGCACTTGCCCCATGTGACAGGTAAGGAATGTGACCACCTCTCCAATGCATATCTGATGTTAAGGGAAAAGCAAGCTCTTTATGTGTTAGAGCCTTTGATGAAAGAAAGGCAGAGAGGCATTTCTTGAATGTTTGTGCTGGAATGAACTGGACTGCAATGTAAAGAGCTTGAGAGGAAGGGGACTTGAGAAAATACATGGAGGAAAGTGTGACCTAACCACGAGATGGTGTCTCTGTGTACAGAGGCTAATCAGTAAGGATAGAAGAATGGTTTTGTGATTAAGGCACTGGCCTGAGCCCCAGTTCTGCACAGGCTTCCCGTATGATGTTGGGCAAACAGCTTAATCTGCACGTGTCTCACATAAATAGATAGAAATGAACTTCACTGCCAGCATATGTTCTGTATAGGACCAGGAATGTCATATTTAACTCGGGTAATTTTTACCCATATACTCTGGTTAGGAGAGAGAAAAAGTTTTCTGATTTATATCTATCACTTAAATTCCAACAAGAGGATCTTTTTCTTCTTGTTTCCTTTTTTCCCTTTAAGTACTCTTTTCAAGGCTGGGGACTGATCTTAGGTCTCTCTGTCGCTGAGCTGACCTGGTAGAAAGCTCAGTGGAGGTATATTTGGGGTATGGAGCTTTAATGAGGCAGTTACTTTATATTTGTGTCAAACAACACCCTGTGGCGATGCGCAGAGCCGTGCTCATGGCGCATAGAAAGAGTCACATGTAGCCTTATTCCGCTAGAAAGATGTTTGCAGTGAGGCAGAATCTGTGAGGGTTGTTGTGGGAGATCAGTAAACAGAGAACAGAGGATCCTGAAGTAACCTCCCCCAAATTTGTAAATCCTTTTAGTGCTGCTTATTGTGGAGGTTTAAACTGCAGAGTCAACAGCTCCATAATCAGCACCACTTCTCAGTCACTGCCCCCTCTACGAAAAACTATTCAGTTGCATAGATAGAGGGGAGGGAGGACAGACACACATGGAAGGAGAAGTTTGTAATTGCTTGGTAGAAAGGATCCAGATCAAAGTACTCTACAGAATGAACAATATAATCTACAGGCCACATATTAAATAGCCTCACCTTAGCATATGACTCCCTCTGGGCAACATCACAGAGGCATCAGTGGGCCTAGCTTTTCCAGTTTATTTATTTTGTAGGGCTATTCTGTTGATTTTTCCACTCAGGCTTGATAATGCTGTATTGCCTATATATAATACCTCCAAGTGTGTCAGAGCTCAGCTGTTTTTGGGTGTTTTATGAACAGCTGTCACATACTGAGAGCTGGTTTAACTTTCACCCAGTTCTGTTCCCGGGCATAAATAGCCACAGCCACAATCAGTAACAGCTATGGTTTTCAAACCTTTCCATATTGTGACACTCTTTTCCATAGTGGGACTCCTCTCCCATTTAGCAATATGGGAAGGGCAGGGTAGTTACGACTCCTGACACCTGTTTGTGACTTAGGTTGAGAATTCCAGTTCTGGGGAATATGGGTGACTGGAAAACCCTATGCTAAAAAATATATGGGTAGCTTCAAAAACAACTCTTCTTTTTGTTCTTTGGATTTGACTTCAACTCAAGCATCAATTAAGTTCAGTACTTGTATATTAAAAGCAAGGAACGTTTAATAGGGAGTTCAATTTTGGGATGCTACTTTTATTCAAGAGCAACTTCTTTTTAAGATTTACAATTGAGTAGTGCTTCCATTTGATATAATATGGCATACAATCCATTCCTACACTGATTTATGGATGTAGGACAAAATGAGGAAAGCAATCTCAGTCTCCATACTTAAGGGCATACATCGATCACTGGGTGAGGTCCAGAAGAAATGTTCCCTGCAGTGCAGTATTGCACATGACAGGGATTTAACATCTTTCTCTGAGCTAGCCAGCATGGCCAATATCGGAGAGAGGACACTGAACTAGATGGACCATTGGTCTATTCTGGTATGGCAATTCCTCTCTCTATTTGGGGGGATACCCAGGGTCTTACCATTAGTTGCTCCAGGTATCTTGTGTTAGATTGAACTGGTTTTAAAACAGGAATCTGACTGGAATAACTCGTCATTACAGTGGCAGAAACTTATGAGTCACCGTCATTCTCCTCTCAAAAGGATAGTGGGAGTTACCCCTTTGAGTCACTGTCATTGCTGTCCCTTTCATTGTACCCAGCATTCACTGTGATACCTGAGGCACCAAACCCTTAAGTAAATAGACCAGCCCACGGAGGAAGTTGGAAGAACAAGGAGATCTTCAAATAGAAACAGGAACCAATGGTAGTTAAGCAGGGGGCATCGGGAGGGAGACTCTTACTTATTGTTATACTGTTATAGGCAGAGATAGTGATTTTTCAAAAAAGCTTTTAATACAGCAGCATATAACTCAGCCCTGTGAGCCGTCATGCCACAGAGCAGCGGTGATCTGTTTGATTCCTGATCCCGCACAGTCATCATAAGTAGCTGGGTTGTTAGTATAGCAGGGGCTGGCACTATAGCTAAGCAGTCAGTGTTCTTCAGAGTAAAATAAGAGAGGTTTGTGTCACGGGTCCTGAGTTAACTGTACCTCTCATACCCTCTCCCGCTCTGGAAGGGCACCCCACTTATGTCTCAGGCATCCAGCCATCACCTTTCCTGGGGCAGGATCCCCCACAACCCGCTCCCTTCAGACGGGGGCTTAGCCTGCAGACTTCTGCAATGCACTGTGATTACCTCAGCAGATCTGACTTCAGTCCAGCACCTGCTGTTCTCTCAGTGACAGTGAGGATAGGGTTAACAGTGACCAGCCAGCCCTCATAAAGCCAAGTACTAGTTATTCAGAACAAAAGCATTTCAGAAAAAAGCATATCTTTAAAACTCTGAACAGTTTATATGCATGTCTGGCTTACCAAGCAATCACCCATCTTCCACATGGAATCTCGGGTAGGTTTTAAAGTATTTTGGGCCCTCTCACAAAGCCTGTCTCTGGACACAGACTCACGCAAGTTCTTGGATCATGTGTGAGAGAATATCTCCCAGGTCATGGCTGTCATTTTGTACAGTTTCAAGTCCTCTGCCTGTTAAGACTTTTTGAACTAGGTCAAACCAGTAGATGCTATTGCCCAGAGGGTGCAAAACTTTACAAGATTTGTTACCTGCATGGTTTCGGTCTTGGGGATTTGCATTAATTACTATCCAGTGTCTTTAGTTCCTGTGGGAAGCATCCTTTAGCTCACCCATCGAGCCAGGAATACAATCACTAACTAGCGCATAATGATACATGTAAAAGTTGATACAATAGTCTTTGAATATTCCATGTTTCCATAGCATTGGATCTGTCACAATCTGATCCTTGGTCCTCTGCCTGTTGCAGTTTTCAGGGCAGATGGTGACTCAGGCTGCTCATGTAAAGTGTTGCTTTCAGCAGGCTAGTGTTTTCCTGTCTGTGACATTTCTGGATGATAACAGAAAGAGGTGATAAAAACAAATAAAAAAAAATCAGGGAAACATGACTTTTCTTTCCTTTTCCAGCAAGCTTCTCAATTTTCCAGCCAACTTCATACCATCTCATTGTGCATACCTATTTTGGTCTCAAGCTACAAATCCAATTGGTTCCAATCATGCAGCTGTTTGTGATTGTGGATCAATCTGCCCAAGGAAAACTGCAAGGTAAGTGCCTACTTATGTCTACTTCTAAAGGAGAAAGATGCAGCCAAAATATTTACAACTGAAGTGCTGTGTGTTCTTAACATTGATGGTGAGATGTGTCTGTGACTGGCATAGCAAGAAATTGTGAGCTAATGAATCTTCCATACTAATTAAGATACTAAGGGAACTGTGTGCCTGTAAGATACTAGTATAGACTTAACAAATGAATACTTTTTGATATTTAGTGATACATATTTTTTAAAAGGCACTGGCTCTAGAGACAGAAATGCTTAGCTGGTTGAATATAGAAAGAATGAGAGCAGAATCCAAAATTTCATGAGAGAATGGCCCCACAGCTCACACATTTTACAGATGAATTATTGATACTACAGATTAAATAAACCCATCAGGCCCATGTCAATGCAGAATGGATCGCGGGAATATAGATTCATAGATTCATAGATATTTAGGTCAGAAGGGACCATTATGATCATCTAGTCTGACCTCCTGCACAACGCAGGCCACAGAATTTCACCCACCACTCCTACAAAAAAACCCCTCACACCTATATCTGTGCTATTGAAGTCCTCAAATCGTAGTTTAAAGACTTCAAGGAGCAGAGAATCCTCAAGCAAGTGACCCATGCCCCATGCTACAGAGGAAGGCGAAAAACCTCCAGGGCCTCTTCCAATCTGCCCTGGAGGAAAATTCCTTCCCGACCCCAAATATGGCGATCAGCTAAACCCTGAGCATATGGGCAAGATTCATCAGCCAGATACTACAGAATATTCTTTCCTGGGTAACTCGGATCTCACCCCATCTAATAGCCCATCACAGGCCATTGGGCCTATTTACCATGAATATTTAATTACCAAAACCATGTTATCCCATCATACCATCTCCTCCATAAACTTATCAAGTTTTATCTTAAAGCCAGATAGATCTTTTGCCCCCACTGCTTCCCTTGGAAGGCTATTCCAAAACTTCGCTCCTCTGATGGTTAAAAACCTTCGTCTAATTTTTAGTCTAAATTTCCTAGTGGCCAGTTTATATCCATTTGTTCTTGTGTCCACATTGGTACTGAGCTTAAATAATTCCTCTCCCTCTCTGGTATTTATCCCTCTGATATATTTATAGAGAGCAATCATATCTCCCCTCAACCTTCTTTTAGTTAGGCTAAACAAGTCAAGCTCCCTGAGTGTCCTTTCATAAGACAAGTTTTCCATTCCTCGGATCATCCTAGTAGCCCTTCTCTGTACCTGTTCCAGTTTGAATGTATCCTTCTTAAATATGGGAGACCAGAACTGCACACAGTATTCCAGGTGAGGTCTCACCAGTGCCTTGTATAATGGTACTAAAACCTCCTTATCCCTACTGGTAATACCTCTCCTGATGCATCCCAAGACTGCATTAGCTTTTTTCACAGCCATATCACATTGGCGGCTCATAGTCATCCTATGATCAACCAATACTCCAAGGTCCTTTTTCTCCTCCGTTCCTTCTAATTGATGCGTCCCTAGCTTACAACTAAAATTCTTGTTATTAATCCCTAAATGCATGACCTTACACTTCTCACTATTAAATTTCATCCTATTACTATTACTCCAGTTTACAAGGTCATCCAGATCCTCCTGTAGGATATCCCGGTCCTTCTCTAAATTGGCAATACCTCCCAGCTTTGTATCATCCACAAACTTTATTAGCACACTCCCACTTTTTGTGCCAAGGTCAGTAATAAAAAGACTAAATAAGATTGGTCCCAAAACCGATCCTTGAGGAACTCCACTGGTAACCTCCCTCCAGCCTGACAGTTCACCTTTCAGTAGGACCTGTTGTAGTCTCCCCTTTAACCAATTCCTTATCCACCTTTCAATTTTCCTATTGATCCCCATCTTATCCAATTGAACTAATAATTCCCCATGTGGGACGGTATCAAATGCCTTACTAAAATCTAGGTAAATTAGATCCACTAAGTTTCCACTAAGTTTCCTTTCCTAAAAAATCTGTTACTTTCTCAAAGGAGGAGATCAGGTTGGTTTGGCACGATCTACCTTTTGTAAAATCATGTTGTATTTTGTCCCATTTACCATTGACTTCAATGTCCTTAACTACCTTCTCCTTCAAAATTTTTTCCAAGAACGTGCATACTACAGATGTCAAGCTAACAGGCCTATAATTATCTGGATCACTTTTTTTCCCTTTCTTAAAAATAGGAACTATGTTAGCAATTCTCCAATCATACGGTACAACCCCTGAGTTTACAGATTCATTAAAAATTCTTGCTAATGGGCTTGCAATTTCTTGTGCCAATTCCTTTAATATTCTTGGATGAAGATTATCTGGGGCCCCCGATTTAGTCCCATTAAGCTGTTTGAGTTTCGCTTCTACCTCAAATATGGTAATGTCTACCTCCATATCCTCATTCCCATTTGTCATGCTACCATTATCCCTAAGATCCTCTTTAGTCTTATTAAAGACTGAGGCAAAGTATTTGTTTAGATATTGGGCCATGCCTAGATTATCCTTGACCTCCACTCCATCCTCAGTGTTTTGCAGTCCCACTTCTTCTTTCTTTGTTTTCTTCTTATTTATATGACTATAGAACCTTTTTATATTGGTTTTAATTCCCTTTGCAAGGTCCAACTCTACTTGACTTTTAGCCTGTCTCACTTTATCCCTACATGTTCTGACCTCAATAAGGTAGCTTTCCTTGCTGATCCCTCCCTTCTTCCACTCCCTATATGCTTTCTGCTTTTTCTTAATCACCTCTCTGAGATGCTTACTCATCCAGCTTGGTCTACAACTCCTGCCTATGAATTTTTTCCCCTTATTTGGGATGCAGGCTTCCGATAGCTTCTGCAGCTTTGATTTATAATCCCAGGCCTCCTCTACCTTTAGATCCATAAATTCTTCAGTCCAATCCACTTCCCTAACTAATTTCCTTAATTCTTGAAAGTCAACCCTTTTGAAATCAAAAACCCTAGCTGCAGATTTATTTTTATTAATCCTTCCATTCAGTTTGAACTGAATTAGCTCATGATCACTTGAGCCAAGATTATCCCCTACAACCATTTCTTCTATGAGGTCCTCACTACTCACCAAAACCAAATCTAAAATGGCATCCCCTCTAGTCAGTTCAGCAACTACTTGCTGAAGGAATCCATCACCTATCGCATCTAGGAAAATCTGAGCCCTATGATTATTACTAGCACTGGTCCTCCAGTCTATATCTGGGAAGTTAAAGTCTCCCATGATCACACAGTTTCCATTAGTATTTACTTCATTAAAAACATTAAAGAGGGCTCTATCCATATCCAAATTAGATCCTGGCGGTCTATAGCACACCCCAAGCACTATCACAGGGGAGGCTCTAGTAGTTTACTTCCCCAGTGTGATTTTTGCCCAGACGGACTCTGTCTTATCCATTCCATCGCTTCCTATTTCTTTACATTCTACCTCATCACTGATATACAATGCTATTCCACCACCTTTACCTTTATTTCTGTCTTTCCTAAACAGCACATACCCTTCAATAGCTGTAGTCCAGTCATGACTACTATTCCACCATGTTTCTGTTATCCCTATAATATCTGGTTTCACTTCCTGCACCAATAGCTCTTGTTCCTCCATTTTGTTACCTAGGCTCCTCGCATTAGTGTACAAACATCTTAATTTTTGCTGTTTGGCCTCACTCACATTCTGTACCCTATTAGGTACAGGTCATTTTACTACCAGTATAACCTATTAGACTTGTATCTACACTGCCCTTCCTCCTACCCACAGCTGTATCCTTTCTTACTTTGTTTTCTTCCCTCTCAATGCTAAAATCCAGCGTGGAGATTACCTGGACATCTCCCAACTATCTCCCCCTAATTCCTAGTTTAAAGCTCTCTTAATTAGTTGTGCCAGCCTCCATCTTAGAAGTCTATTTCCTTCCCTATTCAGATGAAGTCCATCCCAAGAGAACTGTCCTCTATCCATGAATGCCTCCCAGTGGCCATACATCCGAAAGCCCTCCTTATAGCACCACTGCCTAAGCCATCTGTTGATAGTCATAATCTTGTCACACCTTTGTTGCCCTTCTCCAGGAACAGGGAGAATCCCACTAAAGATCACCTGAGCCTCAATTTCCTTAAGCGTCTTCCGCAGCCTAGCATAGTCTCCCTTAATACTTTCCAGCGAGAATCTAGCCGTATCATTTGTTCCCACATGAAGGATAATTAGGGGATTCTTTCCCGCTCCCTTTAGAATCCTTTTCAACCTCAGGTCTACATCCCGTATCTTAGCACCTGGAAGACAGCACACTCTCCTATTCTCCGGATCAGCTCTGGTTACAGGCCTATCTATTCTTCTAAGTAAAGAGTCCCCAATCACATAGACCTGTCTTTTCCTAGTGACGGTGCTATTCTCCAGTCTATCCCCTGTTCCCTCTGGCTGCAAGTTCTTTCCATTCCTATTCTCCCTTGTAATCCTCTTCAACCCATCCTGTATCCTCCTGGGGCTCATATTTCATGTAATCTCCATTAACTCTTCCCCTTTTCCTATAGAACTAGCCGCTCTTCTCTTCTTCCTTGCCCTTCCACCTTCAGTGACTACCTGCTGAGCCCCTTCTTCATTTTCCAATTCTGCATACCTATTCTTAAGATCTATTTCTCCTTCACTAGCCCGTCTTTTCCTCTGCCTGGTTCTTTTAGTCACATGCTTCCACTGACCACTTTCCTCACCCAGTCTCCCCTCAGAATTCCCCAGTCCTGCTCCCATCTGCAAGTCTGAGCTTTTCCCTTCAGATACCTCATGTCTTTGCTCCATAATCTGCTCAAACCCCTTCCTAAACTCTACCAGACTTTCCACCTGCATCTCCAAACCTCGGATCTTTTCCTCCATCAGCTCTATCAGAAGGTTCTTCATACTGACAATACTCTTACCAGGTGCCCCCTCCAGGATGATGTACATACCACAGCTTCCACATTCAGTCATCTTCATTGTGTCTTCCGCTACATGGGTCACTCCCACTGCTACCTCTGTATCTGTCATTGCCTTCCCACCTAAATCCTGTTAATCTGGGAAACACAAACCACACCAAAACACCACCACCCACAGCAAAAAACAAGCACCACAAGACAAACTCCCCTTTCAAACTCCCACTCAAACTCCCCTGTTTACAGCTCTCATTTGTTCAGTCTAGTTTTAAATTACTTAAGTAGCCAGTCTTGGGAAACTATTCCATAAAAGAATGTTAGGGAGAATCACCCAAAACACCGAAGACCAGTTGAAGACCACCTGCTCCAGAACTTGGATTTTTAAAGTGAGACCCCCCAAATGCCTACTTTTGTGATTGCAATTTTAATACTGAGTTGGAGGAGCCCTCTGTTTGATGTTCTGACTGTTAGTCATGTGGTAAATCATCTTTTTCCTCTTTTGTTGCTCTTTTAGAAGAAAAATGAATAATAATTTTTAAAAAACACATTTTTTCTCAACAGGTCTTTGTGGGAATTTCAATGGCATAGAATGTGATGATTTTAAAACAGCTGGTGGGCTGGTAGAAGCTACAGGATCTGCCTTTGCTAACACTTGGAAAGCACAAGCCACCTGTAAAGACCAAGTGGATAATTTGGAAGACCCTTGTGTTCTCAGCTTTGAAAGCGGTAGGAATACTACATTTTCATAGATCCTCTTTCCTCCAATTCTATATCTCATACACAGTCAAATAGCAGTTTCAGAATAATAATCTTTATTTAGAAGGCTGACAAGTTAATAATGTGTGTGCTTGTCTGATGTACTGTGGGCTTGCACATGCCAGCTAACAGGTGCTTCTCCTTTGGAGTAATTGATTGTCCTATGGTTACGGCATGCAACTGGGCTGCGGAAGACCCAAGGTCAAGTCCTTGCTCTGCCTGGTTCAGATGGTAATAAATACAAAATAAGGCTGTTATTTCAAAATTCCATTAATCATTTATGGGACCCTGGAGAATTTACGTGGTAATGTGTCAGATTCTTAATCTGAGGGTCTAGTGTTCAGTTTTCTGTTCAGGCAGTAGGTTTTGATCCAATGGCTGGAAGTTGAAGCTAGACAAATTCATACTGGAAATAAGAATTTTTTTTAACAGTGAGAGTAATTAACCACTGGAACAATTTACCAAGGCTCCTGGTAGATTCTCTATCACTGACAATTTTAAAAGCAATATTAGATTCTTTTCTAAAAGATCTGCTCTAGGAATTATTTTGGGGACATTTTATGGTCTGTGTTATACAGGAGGTCAGATTAGATTATCATAATGGCCTCTTCTGGCCTTTGAATCTGTGACTCTATAAAAGAGATGAACAGTTCAGAGGGAAATTGCAGGGGTAACCCTGTGTTGAAAGACATAGAAGAAAAGTCGTTAATATATTAAAATATATGTCTGGAGTAGTGGTGCACCTTTCTTAGCATTATTGCTTCTTTTTATGTTCAGCTTGGATTTGTGATCCTCTGATCATGGGTTCTCAAACAATTGGAGGCTAGAGGAAGACAATCCTGTGCAGGCAGACTACATTAATAGGATATGATTTCCACTTTGTGTTTGCCACTAGGTATTTGAGTCAGAGACTGTGGGCCAAATTTATAGTGGTTCTGTGCGATCTCTCCACTCCCAGAAAAGTTTAGGGTTCTCATTTTTATCATTTTGTTGCTTGGGTCAGATTATTTTGCATATTGTAATGTGACAGTATGGTGAAACAGGGTATGATGCAAGAAAATAATTCATTCTCTCCGCTTTTGTTACAGAAAATTATGCTGAATATTGGTGTTCCTTTCTGAAAAATTCAGAATCTCCTTTTGCCAGATGTCACTCAGTCATTGATCCTGTGGAATATTATAAGGTGTGGATTTTATACTATACTGACACCTTCTGGCATTGGTCTAATACGTGTCTTACCATATACATATGTTCAAGGGATTATTGAAACTTGGCCATAAAAATTGGTTCAAATTTTGTAATGATTACCTGTCCAATGGCATTGAGTGCATCCCTGATCTCCTACAATAGGCTTTCTCATAGAATGCTAATTTAGAAGATGGAAATCATTGTGCTTTTTTGGGGGGTGGAGCTTGTGTGTGGTGAAAGGGCACTCATTTTCATATGAGAATTCAAGAGAGGCAGGAATACTGAGCCATGACAGTCACATGTTAAGCCAGCCCTTAACCATTCATCTATTTTGTGGTTTAATAAAGAATAAATTGAGTTTACTTGATCGGGAGATAAACAACAACCCATTTATGTGTCATTTTATTCCTGGTCTGTTTCCCTCTGTTTTCAATTCTGTTGAGGAGGGATAAACAAACCAATCTGGGGAGAAAAGAAAGAACCCCCTCACTTTTACAATTCAGTCTGAGCTGAACATTTGTGAAGATCTTAACCCATTCAGCTAATTTATTTGCTTTTATTATTTTTAATTTCTGTGGGCTTGCACATTTCCGAGTTGTGACTGATCAGGAATTAAAAGTATCAAAGTTCCCTTAAAAAAGGCTGCTGTGAGGAAGCTGGCTAAACACTGGACTTTCAAAAGGTTTGGCTGTTCAGATAAGGGCTGGCGAACTATCCACATTTTTCATGCTTAATCAAACACACCCTGAGCCTTTTGGGGTTGGTCCCTCAGCTCTCTGCTCATCTGCTGTGCTCTCTGATTCTGGGAGTGAATGAAAGCCACATGGGAAAGAAAGTACTGGGTGTTCTACAGTTACTGTACTGGAGCCCCAGTTTTCACAGTCTTCCTTTTATGGTTCTAATCCTCCTCCTGCAGGCTTGTTAACAATCTGCTTCTTATTTGTCTCAGAGATGTAAATATGACACCTGCAGCTGTAAGAACAGTGAAGAATGCTTGTGTGGGGCCCTATCCTCTTACGCAAGGGCCTGTGCCTTCAAAGGAATCATGCTCGGGGGCTGGAGACAAACTATCTGCAGTAAGTGATGACACTGTAATCCCCTTGAAACCAGTCATAGGAATGGACGGAGTGCACCTGACTACAGTTACATTAACCTCGGTGTTAAGAGTTTAGAGGTGCCTTGGAGATGCCCAATACAATTTAAGGGGACAGTGTCAAGAATTTTGAATGGTTAAAGCTGTATTCTTTAAATGTCCTTCATTTATAGGACCACTTCATGAACGGGGGAGTAATTATTTTCCCTATCGTCTTCTCCTCTACCACTTCACAAACACTAATCTGTCTTTTCTTTGTCCAGTGGAATATAAGCCGTCATGGCTCTTCCATTTTATTTATTTTCTTGGGTGTGGACCAGCATTATCAATGGTACCATCAACACTGGGAACTGGGCTTTGGTAAACTGCGCTTCTGTTGGAGGGTTATAGGGCTATGAAGCAACAGAGAAAAAGATATTATTATTAGAAAGCAAATTCCAATAGCAAAAGATCCGTTAACTAAAGGGAAAAGGAAAAGAAATAACGCTACGTGTATTTAATGGATCTTTTCATTGCTTCCTCTATATACTCAACTCCCATTTATAATAAAAGAAATTATGCCTGTTCGTTAAAGGAAGAATATACCCTTTAGAGTAGAAATAGTATTACTTCCTAGGTGGTAATTTGGAAGGTAGGACAAAGTGAAGGCAACACTATTTATTAATTGCCATAATTTATTCTATAATACAATGGGAGGGAGTCCCTTCATTTTTACTATTACATACTGCATGGGCAGAGATCAGAAAGAAAGATTTAAATTCTATAATGCCCAGTCAGGGTTTTTTTATTTGCCAGTATAGCAACCATTGGTCTTTTCCCCCCTCTCCAGACAAAGAAGTGTCCTCTTGCCCAGCATCCCAGGTCTTTCGTTACAATCTGACCACATGTCAACATACCTGTCGCTCCCTTGCTGATGGCGAAAAGCACTGCTTGGAGGGCTTCATTCCCATTGATGGCTGTGGCTGCCCTGATAACACCTATATGAATGAGAAGGGTAACTGTGTGCCCATCTCCCATTGTACATGCTACTATAAAGGGTCATACCTGGAACCTGGGGATGTCATTGTGAAACAAGAAGAACGCTGGTAGGTTATTTTATGGCTTGTCATTTGTGGACTGTGGAGGTGAAAGCCCCCACTTCTTATCTTTGCTTATATATTGATATCTATGGTGATACCGTGTAGATAAAAGGTATATATTACCTGCCACCACCGTAGCAGAACAAAACGTCATACTGCTGTGACTTAACTTATTAATATGTATGGCATATCTCTTTATTTATGAGGTGTGTGGTGGCCTCTTGTGGTAACCCTGGACCTGATCTGCACCACTTAAGCCAATGGGAGTTTTGCTAGGCAATGGGGAAAAGAAGCTACATGAGCAATTAGCAGGTTTCTCACTGAAAACAGATTATTCCATTTCACTTTGCATTGTAACAGTTACTAATTGATACCCATTTAATCAAGATGATGAGTTCCAAAACCAACATGCAGGCTCCCAGAAGCAATAGTCTTTTGCATGAACTCTAGTGACTCATGCTGTGAATGGTAAAATATTTCCTTGCCTTTCAAGGAGGAGAGAACTAGGAGATAAGAGTACAGGCCAATGAGGTTATTGCATTTGACTGGAATTGGCATAAAATGGTGATATGTATTTTCATGTATTTATTGGAGGCTAAGGACATGCTCTGAAAGGGTATGACTATGTATTCCCTTGATTGCTAAAAAGTACAATTTTGAGGATTTGCAGGATAATTTGTGGCCATTCTTTGAAAATCATGAATTTACCATCTGTTTATAATGTAACATTCAAAAGTTCTGCAAAACTTTTCCCCAGCTCACTGTGAAATCTCTATTGAAATCATGTGGGACTTCTTCCCCAAGGCGCATATTTCACAAAGGCCACTGCTAAATATTATTCCACTAATAGATCATTATTAATGGGTTCATTATTACTTTATCACCTAAGAACATACCACAGCAATAGGGAATTTTTGACGGTCCAAAAGAATAATTGTCTGGCAGAAGTAATAATCTCATTTGTTCATTTATGCCTCTGCAAATTGTTCTCAGATGTTCATCATTTGAAAACATTAGGCTTACGTTCTATGAATTTCTATCTTCTCACCCTTTGTAGTGTTTGCCGAAATGCAGTTCTCCATTGCACTCAAGTGAAGATAATAAATGACAGTAAGTGAAATGCTTTAGAGAGAAATATCTCAGTTTCTCATTTGAATTCTTCACTTGTTTCTTTTTCCCTTCTGTGAAACAGTCACCACCTTTCACTTTGCTTTTGGCCAAGGATTTTACCTTGTATTAGAAACGGTGTTTACATTTATTATTTTTAAGGGGTACACACTGCTGTTTCTGTCTCAGTATCGAATACCTCCCTATTTCTTTTCTGTTCCCTTGATCTTCAGAGTTCACCCATCTAACATGGTATCTTTGTTTTACAGAGTGTCCATCCCCCAAGATTCACTTTGATTGCAGCAGCGTCAAGTCTTGGTCTTCACAAACCCCTCTGCAGCTAAGCTGTCATACACTGGATACTGACTATGTACGTTTTCATTTTACCTCTGATTATGGCATGGCTTCTTCTTTCCCCTAGTCCCTGAATGAAGCAGTGCAAATCTGACTAACATGATCTTTTAGTCTTTTCTCTCTTCTTTCCTTTTATTTCCATCCTTTCTTTTCTTTCATCATTTTTGTTCTAGTTCTCCACTACTTTTTGCCATCCTTTCTCTTTTCACTGATTTGTCTTCTCTTTTCTCAGTAGGAAAATCATGGGTTGGATGGATAGACATTTTGTTCACAATGCAGCACATTAGTTTTCCGTGTAGAACAAAAGTAAGATAGTCTGAACTTAATATCTCCGTAAAATATGAAGGAAATTCTCAGGCACTCAGATACTAGAGAGATGAGACCAATAGAATTAAATAAATAAAAATGGCTGAGTTATAAACCAGGGAATGAAGCACATGGGATGAATGTTTGTAGAAGAAGTGGGATAACAGAGAAGTCGTGTTTTCTTATACAATAATATAATTTTTGTCTTATCTTCTTTAGTTCCAGACAGAGTGTGTCTCAGGATGCGTGTGTCCTCATGGACTGATTGATGATGGCAGAGGGGGCTGTGTCAAGGAGAAGGACTGTCCATGTATTCATAACAAGGAGTTTTATTCTCCTGGAGAGGACGTAAAAGTGGGCTGCAACAAATGGTAAGATGCTGTAAAGGTCTCTTCTTTCCTTTTGATGTATATTTCTTGTAGTAAATGAATAGTAATGAAATGGTTTAAATACCACTGTGATGAGCAGGATATAGGTATACAAGCCTTGATTCTCAGTTCCACTCTGGTTTCTTTGTGATCTCGGATGACTCCCTTTGTGTAAATTTAGGTAATACTACAAACATTAAGGTAATTATCTCTGTTTATCTCAGGCAAAACTGACAAGTTTTTAGGGTGATCACTGTAACTGAGCTCAGAATCCGTCTCTCTGCCAAGGGCATCTCTGATTGGGCAGTAGTGTAAGTTTTGGGTAGTGTTGTTGCGGGAACAAAAAAGGAAGCTGTGCAGAGCTAACAACCATGCTATAAATTTGTCAGTGGGCCCATTCCATGTGGGGACTGTTGATGAGATGGTGTCTTATAATACCCTGTAACATAATATTATGCATGTGATGGATTCCTTGTGTCAGCCAGCTATGTGATTTATCCTGCAGCTTCCAAAGCAGCATACATCAACATTCCGACTTCACTTTTCAGATTTCATCCAACTCTTTTATTCTTTCCCTAGTACCTGCCAAAAAGGAAGATGGACCTGCACCAATCATGTGTGCTATGGGACTTGTACTGTATATGGAAGTGGCCATTATATCAGCTTTGATGGAAAATACTATGACTTTGATGGACACTGTGAATATGTGGCTGCCCAGGTAATGTCCAATGGGAGCAGTGTGCAGACAAAACTTCTAAAAAGAATGAAAAGTTTTACAACAACATAGCTATCAGTTTGGTTCTTGGACCACCTCTCTTAGACCCTTTTTCTTTAAGATCACTGTTTCTGTGGCGACTGCAACTTCTGCCAAGTTAAATTCCATATTTGCAACAAATCCCAGCTGTGCAAGGAAATTAATGGCCCTTGAGTGAACATTTCTTCTGCTGATGTTGTTGCAGATTGTACACAACTGGGCTAGCTCAACAATGAAAGTTGTCAGCTCAATGCTACTCCAAAACAAATGGCTGATTCTGAAATTGGAAAACAAATATCATCCATATATTTAGGGACATAAAATATTGTTTAATTCAATTGTCCCACTTTTTCCCCAGTATTTGGTAAACATAGAGTTAAATGGCACTCAGGGGTGTGTGTGTGTGTGTGTGTGTGTGTAATGGAATTTGAAGAATAATTTTAAATTATTTTAGATTGAAATCAAAATAAATAATATGGTTCCTTTCATTGACTTGTTTCTTTTTTCCACTCTCAACAGGATTATTGTGGCGAGGATCCCAGAGGTTCGCTTAGTATTGTCACAGTGAATGTTCCATGTGGAACCACCGGAGTCACTTGCTCAAAGGCTATTAAAATATTTCTAGGGGTGAGTGGTGGCTGTGGATGGGTTCAGCCCTAGAATGCAGCTGATCAAAACTGCCCTTTGCTTGTAGTCATGTGCCTTGAAACTGAAGGTTGGTATAGCTCCATTAAAGTGAATGGAACTATGGTGATTTCCACTTGCTAAGGATTTAGGCTGTGGTTTGGCAGTCTTAGCTTCACAATGAAGTCCATCAGCATCATCATTCCAATAGCTTGCCTCACTATAAAGCCAGTGCTGTTATATCCCTTCTCTTTCTGTCCTTCAGAAAACCGAACTGAAGTTGGAGGAGAAGCAGTATGTAGAAATTCAGCGAGATGTTGGCGAACATGTACGATATTGGAATCGTACAGTGGGGCTCTATCTTGTTATTGAGGCCAGCAATGGTGTGATGCTCATCTGGGATAAGAAGACTACTATTTTCATAAAGCTGACTCCTAATTATAAGGTGAGCAACTCCAGTCCTTTTTTCTAAAATATTAGGGAATCTGCTGATATGGTTAAGAATAGTTGAATGCAGGTAAATATGGATGATGTTTTATTGTTACTCTTAATAGTGTCCCTAAATCTTGTTTATGTTGATGATTCATATATATCTTGCATTATCCATGATGGCGGGTGCCATTGTCTGTTGCTTCTTATGGTATGATCCAGTGCAACAATACCAGTGGGTGTATTGTGTACTATTGCAATATGGATGAGCGGTCCCCTGTGGTTTTCCAGTAGTTGTAAACATTAATGCTCTAATACAAATCCCACTGAAGTTCATTAAAATATTCTTGTTGACTTTTATGAGTTTTTGGATCAGGCCCCACAAGAATAAACTCTTGGGACCCCAGACATAATTTTTCTCATCATTATAGACCCAAACTTTGCTCTATATTGTAAAGTAAGGGAAAAACAGAACAGGGGCCCTATTTTCCAGACAGTGAGCTATATTGCTAGGCTTGAGCTCTCAAGCAGTGGTAGAGGCCAACTTATACTTGGAGGCATTTCACTATTAAATCACAAGTTATTCATTATATATAATAGTGTAGTGTGCGTGCGTATTTTATATATGTATGGCCCTTAGTACCAAAGAAGTGGCTAAAACATTGTAATTCCCCAATAGAAGACAGAACAAAAATTCACAAGATTGCCACAGCATAACTCCAGCTCTGAAATAATAATGCAACGCATTTTACCTTGGGGAAATGCAGTTGTGGTTCAAATAGTGCAAAGTGTGGCAGCATCTCACAGCCTCTGTGTAAGGGACCTGTCTGAAAAGAAACTAAAAGTTCTTTATTGATGAAACGCTTCCGACCCGGACGTCTTCCCTTATAAAGCATTTGACTTATTTAGCAAGAGACTCAAGCAGCCCTTTGTAGTGTTGGGGGCTGTGCACACATTTTAGGACCCCACACTTGTGTCCATTTACGACACTGCTTAGTTTGTTTTCCTAAGAGGGTAAATGTTTTCATGACACTTTGCTGGAAACCTTGAAATAGCTTGAGTAGGGTTAAAAAAATGGAGGGAGAAGAAAAAGAGAGGCAAAAGATTCCTAGCTTTTATTGCAAACACATCCTTGACTAGAAGGATGCCAGCCAATCAAAACCCACTGAAGCCACTGTACTGACTTTTAAGTTTTATTCAAGGATGCTTTATTTCTTCCTTATTCCATCTTACTCTTTGCAAATGATGGAAATCTGCCTTAAAGATGATCAGCCAACTCTTCACAGTTAACATTTAATAGACTTAGGGCTAAATTTGCAGTGCATTGTGTAAGGGAAAATGTAGCCATGTGACTCCTATTTATATTAATAGGAATCATGCAGCTAAGTTGCTGCATACCACAATGCACTGTAAAGAGATGGCTTGTTGTCAGGTGAGAGAAGTGTAGCCACTGTTTGGATCCCTATAAATTGAATGGGAGGCTGCAAAGAAATATAGATATAGTTACTAGATACTGTATGTAGCAGAAAGGGAAGACACAGGTTCTTTGCCTGGGCTATCGGTAGCTTGCTAACCAGGGAGATAAACACACAAAAATAAGTTTAACTTATACACATGATTTTGAAGTAAAGATGAAAATAAGTAAGATACAGAGAGAAATTGTTCCCTCACTTTGTATCTTTATTTTGGTTCTAACTCTACTGGTGTTCACTTACTGGGCAAACTGAAAATCTGATGACATGTTCTGAAATCAAACAACTTTTGCTTTTTCAGGGCAAAATCTGTGGTTTGTGTGGCAACTTTGATGACAAGTCCAACAATGACTTCACAACAAGGAGCGGGCTGCTGGTGACCAATCCTCTGGAGTTTGGTAATTCTTGGAAACTGTCTGGCTCCTGCCCTGATGTGGTGGAAGAGGTCCTGCCCTGCAATCTGAAACCTCACCGCAAGTCCTGGGCAGAGAAGGAGTGCAGCATCATCCGGAGTGAAGTCTTTAAAGTTTGTCATGCCAAGGTTAGTAGAGAGGCCGGTGGCTACTACCTACAAGTGAACCTCTGTGCAAGAAGACGGAGGAAGGCTGAATTTGCACAGCTGAGTGAGGGAACAGTGAATCATAGTAGCCTCAGAAGTTAGAAACTGGAAAGTTTCTCAGTAAGGATCTCAATAAGTTTGAGATCATCAGGTTCATCCCCCTGATAAGAAGAGGTACTACACTTGCAAGTTAGATGTTCAGGCATCCGCTATTCCTTGGGATAGTCAAACCAGGGATTTGGTATGTTTTCATAGATTGGACTGAAGCATCCATTTGTTCTAGTTTGGGAGAAATTCCCTGCCGTGGTATTGTTTGTGAGCCACACAGAAGTAACACTCTGTTTACATATAGAATGGAGGTTCTTTTCTAGTGTGCAGACTGGGATCCCTATCCAGTATGTCACTGGGTTTTTATGGATCCTCCCCCTCTCCAATCGCAGATGGTGGTTCTGACTGTGGACAGACTTTAGATGTTTCCATCTGTTGCATTGCACTCTCCTTGTTTTAAGTGATAATTGGTATCAATCAGCTCATAGTTTAAGCATGCTTACATCACCCTATCTCATATTAAAATGCATCCAAATCATAATAACAAAACACAGTGTTATAGGCTCAAGGTATACATAGTGTTATGTAATTTATCTAAGCCATGACCCTCAATTGAAGTGTAATAATAATTTAATAATAATAATAGTTTGCACTTAACAGAGTTTTTCAAAGTGCTTTACATGCATTATAAGTATAGGAAGGAGGACAAAGAGTTGTGATTCCTGTTGTTCTAGCATATGCTTTTATGCCCGGCATAAAACCCAGTCTGGGTTCTCCCTCTGATCATCCAAAGTGGAAAAAAAGCATTTGCTAATGTATGACAGGATGCACCAACACTAGGCAGGTATAGAACTGTCTCTGCTTCTTCTCTGCTACCAGATGGTATGTCTGGCAGATGTACACCACCTGGCTGGTTAACTAACTGAAGAGAAAATTTCATTAACTTCAATCAAATTTTCTTTTAGATCAGCAGTAGTATCAGCAGCCATAAAGTACAGTAGATTGAAGAAGGTGATACAGTTAGCAGATTAATTCACTTTAAAGAAGAAGAAGAAGAGAACCTGAGTGAGGTACTTATGGCACCCTGAAGAGTGTCCAAGTTAGATGCTTGTAAAAGGAGGCTAATTTAAGTGCAGGGATTTTTTTTTTGAAAGCTGAAGTATACTATCCTAATAGCAGATAGGTTTAGAAGGGAGGCTTAACAAAATTGTTTTCAGAATGTGGTTATGGTTAGAAGAGCAGTTGTAAAAATAACCTCAAATTGTCTTATTTTTATTCTCCATCAGCAACTTCCCTGTCCAAATAGGTTTCAGAGTAGCAGCCGTGTTAGTCTGTATTCGCAAAAAGAAAAGGAGTACTAGTGGCACCTTAGAGACTAACCTATTTATTTGAGCATAAGCTTTCGTGAGCTACAGCTCACTTCATCTTACTTCACTGCATCCGATGAAGTGAGCTGTAGCTCACGAAAGCTTATGCTCAAATAAATTGGTTAGTCTCTAAGGTGCCACTTGTACTCCTTTTCTTCCTGTCCAAATAGTTCAGTTTGCCAGTCAAACCACATTTTTTCTAATCACCAGTTTTGTAAATTCAATAAAGTGTTTCTTTCTACTTTGTGCATCATATTTATTGATAAAGAGTCTGGATTCAGAACTCAGCTGATAATTGTGTTGATAATGCAGGACACAGAATAGAATAAAATTTTGCTTTGACATTGGTACAGTGGTCCTGTGCTGGGAGTAATAATTTTTTTGTCATTAAACTAAAATGATGCCCATCAGAAGATATGGTCAATGCACAAGACACTTCTTTTAGTTACCTTTTTCCCCATAACCATATTAGAAGAAATTAAGATAATGTAATGGAAATTAACCTAGCTCAGATCTGCTACCTGACAGACAGTAAGCAACTTCTGGTCTAAAGGATTTCCATCTGAGATTCCAAATTGGAAAGAGAGCTCTGGTGTTAACAGCTGCCCCACGTGTTTCCCCCACAGGTGGACCCAGCTCCGTTCTATGACAATTGTGTTCATGATGCCTGCTCCTGTGACAGTGGTGGAGACTGTGAGTGCTTCTGTTCCGCAGTTGCTGCTTATGCCCAAGAGTGCATTAAGGCTGAAGCTTGTGTCTTCTGGAGAACTCCTGATATATGCCGTGAGTAACCTTCAAATATTCCCCACTGAGTACAACTGGACCTATCAGAACGATATCACAAAGTTTTAATCACTGCAGCAGTGTGTTGACACAGGATTGTATGCTATGGCACACAGTGGAAAGGGTTCATCATCTCAGTATAAGCAGCTGCCCATTATTGTAACAATGAGTTCAGTGTATTTAAATTGTCACTATGGGTTGACCCTTAAATGACATTTCAAATGATCCTTCCCATTCTGTGTGCCAACTGGTGGACTGACCTTCCCAGCATATTTATCTAGTTGGCAAAACCTCCCACCCAGAATTGTTACTAGTATTTTTTTTTACATTTTGTGTATAGCACAGTCACCTGTGACTAGTCCCCCTAGGCCAAACTGTGTTTAAGTTATACTCATAAAATCCCACTGACTTCATTTTAGGCTGTTGTATGTGCCTCTTGCATATAGCTACTGACACCAAAAGTCAACTTGGGATGGTGATCATACTAAATGAGTTACGGGTAACACTTCCACCGATCCAACCAGTAGGAGCAGTAACTAAGCTTTTCACAGTGTGGACTTGTTCTTACACACAGTACATCACTTCTCAACTCAGAAATCTTGCAAATTTTATTCTGCAGCCATGTGGCAATTCACACTGGTTCATAGGCCATATGGTTTGAGGAATTTGGTTTTGAATGCGTTAAGCTTTCCCCCATAAAGGTTCAGGTTTGAAGAGTTTGTGCATGTCCATGTGGGTTTACTGGAGGAACACCATGTGACTACTCCATTTGATATATCTGGGCAAAACTGATTTCAGCCTATACACACCATCAGCCCTAAGAGTCTGCAGATGTCCAGAGAAGTAAAAAAAAAATAAAATAAATAAAAAAAAATCACAACACTTCAACAGACAGCTTGAATTCAAAATTGATTCTGAGCAGTTGTGTGATTTCAATCAAACATTTGTTTCCTGCAACAGTGGTGCTAAACGTGAAGGAGCTGAAATCCAGAGTTTCATGTGTTCTGTATTCAGGTTGAGTAGGAAAAAAAAATCCAGGTCTCATGTGTCAAGGGAAATACTGCTACCGGTGCACTGTGTAGGGGCATTTGGCTGGCATGGTTAGAGGTGGGAATGGGATTCTGTTCTGTCGGCTGTTTTTTTTTATCAGTTTCTGTTTTCTATCAGCAATATTCTGTGATTACTACAACCCTCGTAATGAGTGCGAATGGCACTACGAGCCTTGTGGCCGTCAAATTCTGACCTGCAGGATCATTAACAATGTCAGCACCAACTTCTCATTGCCATATCTGGAAGGTAAGAAACTCCTAATTGTTTTTGTATGGCATATCATGAAGATTTAGTTGAAATGTTACTTGATGGAGTTGGAGCTATTAGCTAATGAGATCAATTGATTGCCTGGCCATTCCTAAATCTATAATCAGACACAAGCATTTGGTGTGGTGTAACGTACTGTTTACTGACATCAATGGGATGATACTCACATGTTGAGCACGTGCCGTATTTTCCTGAATTGTAGTATAAGATTGATCCACGATCCCCATTGGCCAATACCATTTTAAGAGTACCTTCAAGGGGGAGAAAAGATTCTTATTGTGGTAAAGAAAAGTAGAATTTTATTGCTTAATTATTTCTTTTAAATTTTTTATTTATTTTTGCTGTGTCAGCTATACATTGCTGTAACTGAGATACTGCAGCATTTCTGTATCCTTGCAAAAAGAAATAACTGATCATAACTGATCTCAGACATTGTAGTGCTGGTAAATATTGGCCTCTTAATGGATGGCTCAATGGGAAATATTCAGGATTTACAATGAATAACTTACCACTTTTGGAAGTGGTCATCATCCAGGGCCTCATCTAGAATCAGAAGGAGTCTTTTCATACTTCAATGGGCCTTAGATCAGGCCTCCCATGAGAATGTAATCACTAAATTAACAGTTTTTATTAATATTACAAAATGGACCATTTGTGGTCAACAGGTTGCTACCCAAGATGCCCTGAAGAAAAGCCCATTTTTGATGAAGACCTCAGAAAATGTGTACCTGAAGATCAATGTGGCTGTTATATTGAAAATGGCACTCGTTATGAAAATGGCTCAAAAATACCCACAGAAGTCCCTTGTCTGGATTGGTATGTGGAAATACAAAAGTGATGGAGCAATGCATATTTAGACCTTGATTCAGGAAATCTCTTAAGTACATGCTTAAATCCCATTGACCTCAATGGGTCTTCAGCACACGCTTAACTGCTGTTGTGAACAGACCATGCTGTCGTGTTCTCCTGAATGAAGGCTGTAATATTACAGATTACCTGCAAGAACCTCGGTGTGAATTAGCCCTTCTCCATATAAATGCTGATTTACCCCAGATGAAGATCTTGCCTTACAAAGATAGTGGGTGAGGGGAACACCATAGTTACAATACAGTTGGATTTCAAAGGAACGCCATCTATTTCTACTCACATTTCTCTCTGTGCATTTTTTTACCTGCAATTGTTAGAAGTAATTCCACAGATTGCTATAACTGGGAGAGACTAGAGAAATGAAAGTACCTATATTTTTTGAACTTATTCACATTGTGAATTTAACAGGACATTGTGTATAGTCATTTTCAATTATTCACTAAAGTCAGTTGCACCTGTTGTTCCTGTATGTCTTTCACATCTGTCTCTGCAACAGCGGAGGAGAGATTTTTTTAAAAATAGGAACATGTGGCTGTAAAACTTCAAAAATTGACAGGAAAACTCAGAAGCAGATGTAGTGCCTAAAACTATTTTAAACTCATGTTTTGAAATTGACTATTTCACGTTGATAATGTCCCATTAATATATCTTTTGATAATGGCATTAAATATTACTTTTAATATGTCATATCTGGAAATTACACCTAGCGCAGCCCTTACGCTGTTCTACATTTTGCCAGATAGAACCAGCTGGGGGATCACTGGAGCACAAATGTCTCTGGCCATGTTCCCTCACACCCTCAGCCCTCCTCAGTATACCCCTGATCAGTAATTTGTCGAGATATAAGGATCTGTGCAGCAGAGATGGAGCAAAATGGTTTAAGGGAGCAGTGGCTGTTAGTCATATTATATTTTCCCTGCTCCTGATGGAGGGTAATTAATTATATCAAGGAAGAGTGTTTGGAGGAAGGAAAGCCGGTGGTTGTATCGGGAGGAAATAGCAATTCTCAATATTGGAGCAAACAACTGCCAAAGAAATATCCAGTCTCATGAGGTGAAGTTTGAGTGATAAAGTTGTTTTTAAGTTTTTAGACTCCTAGCCCCTGCAAATAGTGTGCTATAAATTAATTGCAGGGATTCATGAGAAATTACTGCAGGGGCTGCTGTTGGTTTGCAAAAATGTTCATTTTGACTGAATTTTTTTTCTTTTAGTGTCTGCATCTCAACAGGAAATATTGTGTGCAAACCTGTCCCAGGTAAATTGCATTTTATTCTTTTTGCAAACTGGAAAGGGAAAGAAAAGGAATGCCACGTATCTCTTCCATCTGTCTCCATGGGAGATTTAGTAATGATTTTGAATGATTCTTTGCAGCTCTAGCCAGGATTGCACAAAAGAAAAATTGGGTAACACTTTGTAACCTCACAGTCATCACTCACACATCTAAGGATATGACAAAAAAGTGAATTAGGCTGATTTAAGATCAAAGTGTAACAACTGCCCCTTTCTTTCAGTTTTGTTAAAACAATGCCCCTTCCTCAATATCCTAACTATTAATTTTCAGCTCAAGCCATTTAACCCTCAAGAACATGTGGTATTTTATAACAGGGTCATTATTATGTTAGATCCGCTACTGTGTTAGAAAGTATTTTAGTAACCCTGCTTCTAAATGAAATTTCTATTCTTGCTAATTAGTTTATGTACCTCACCTACATAGGGCTTTATTAGATATGCCTTAGCTTCATCCTAAATTCAAATATAAAGTAATGAGGTTTGTATGGTTTAGGTACAGGTATATCTCTTAGAGGTGCAACTCTCACACACTCAAACACTGATATTTACCTTAGGCACTTTCATAAATGTCTTGGCATGTTGTTGCTCTTGATCATTTCTTAGAAGAACAACTTCACAAAGAAGCTCTTTCTTGCAGGCTGTACCACAACCATCACACCCACCACCACACCCACCACCACACCCACCACCACAGCAACGACTACCCCAGTGACAACGACACCTACCACTACTACACCGACTACCACCCCACGTAAGTGTTTTACAGATAGATTGCATAGACATTTGGCTTCTGAAGCAAGTGTTGTAAATCTTTGGGGCTGGTGCACTGATGGAAGGTGCCCTTAGTGTCTTGGACAAAAATCCTGAACTCAATGTTGCTGGGATTTGAACTACTGTTTTCATTTATCTGGAACTCTTATAGTGAGATTTCTTATTATTCCATTGCAGTTACCACCACAATCTCTTCAACCCCTTCAAGTAAGTTTCTTAATAAGGAATCTTCTCATTGTGAACCACGGTAGCTAGAAAACAAAGGAAAAGGAAGAAAAGAGAAAGCCAGGCAGTATGAAAATACATTTTCATTTTAGAATGGTAAAAGAATATGTGTGTGTACGTGTGTATTTCATCCTTGCATTTTATGAATTAAGTGGCAAACAAAAAGCTTGCTTTTAAACAGTCAGACATCTTCAGATGTCCTGTAACCAGGTCTGACTCCCATAAAAGTCTCTAGGCCTTAATCAGTGATGATGTAAAGGCTGGTGTAAGAGAGCCGGCATCTCCCTGAAAGGCAAATCTTTGATATTTTTACATGGCCCAGAAAATGATTATTAGAAACCTATGAAAAAAAATCACAGTGTGGAACTCCTCAGCGATATATGAGAATCCACTGAATATTTCATGGAGAGCTCACAAATTCCCTGACATGTCCATTGAAGATTTCTGAAAAAAAGTGCAATGTGTTGTTTTCACTGAGATTATCTGTAATAATAAAGACCAAGTCCCAGGGGGCCTGATTCCAATACCTGTCTGCCTCAATTCAGAGATCAGCAAATACTGCTGCTGGCCACAATGCACCACAATTACAACTACCACTCCAATGACTATTGAGCCCTCAGTGCCCGTCAGTACACCTACCACCAGCCCCCCAACCCTCCACTCAAAACTACCACTGTGCCTCCAACCCCCACACCCACATCTACCACAGAGTCCTCAGCCCCCACACCCACATCTACCACAGAGTCCTCAACCCCCACACCCGCAACTAATACTGAGCCTCCAATCCCCATACCAACCACCCCCACAATCACACCAACAACCACTATCAGCACTGAGACACCAACACCCATTCCAACCACCACCCTGACAACTAGCACGACTAAGCATCCGACACTCACTCCAACCCCAACACCAACAACTACTTCAACTAACACCGCTAAGCCTTCAACCACTACAGCTACCACCATGCCACGATCAAGTGCTGCATCAGGAACCACAACCAGTACTTCAGTAGGTATGAACTGAAGAATAACTGCCCATAGTTAATGATAAGAATAACAATCTTTAAGTGTTGACGTGATTCTCATTAACCAAAGGTAACCATCAGTAAAAATTAAGATATAGTAAGATGGACATGGAAGCTATAAACAGAAGAACCCTAACAGCAGAGATTTATTTACTGTGTTCATCTCTGTTTAGCCTTCCAGAATTTCTAACAAAAATCATATGAAATATAGCATCAACTGGAAAAAACTCCCCCATCTTCTTTTATTTCAACAATATACATTTTGGCCAAGATACCCTTCCACCTGCTAACTTAAATGTAATTGATATTTTTAAAAAATATGTATTGCCAATTGATTTTGAACAAGGTATTTTTTGAGGCTTAAGAATAAAATTATAGCGACTTGTATTTTCAATTGGAACAAATCCTGCCCCTGGTTTATGTGGGAGTAAGGGGCATATTAAGACCCTTACTCCTGTGTGAACTGGTTTCATATCTGTCCCACCAAATTTCAGGAGGCTGAAACTGGTATTAAAGAGTGTGCAGGGCTTCTCTGGGACAGCTTATTAGGCAGGTGATACTGAGCTGCCCATGGGCTAAGGAGTTAATATAAGTATACACACAGTGTTCCTGCCCAAGACTGGTCATCTGACTATTGTTACTATGTCTCTCCCACATGTAAGGCTTGGGTGGGATGAGTGATTACTGCATTCCCAGATATGCCTAATATTTATCATATTTGCATGTATTCCTCTATATATGCAGCCCTCGATTCCACCAGTCCTAGAGGGGATTTTCTGTCCTATGGTGTCAATTCCAGTGAATAGTACTGATGTTCCTATAAAAAAGACACAACCTCCAGGTAGCAAAGGTGGAATTTTAAGAATCTAGAATGTAGTGCATGCAGAGTGAGGATGAGCTCATATTGCTCCTTGAGAAGAGTGCAAGGATTTTTATTGTGACTAACCAATGCAGGAATTTTGTAGGAGGTTAGACGGGGCAAGGTGAGGTAAGGCTCCCTTTGCTCTTATTTATTCTGTATGATGTGACAGTCTCTTGCTCACTATTGTGGGGGTCAAGGGGCTTCCTTTCTCCCTAGATTGAGATTAGCCCTTCAAAAGTGCACAAAGGTGGAAGGAGGGGTGGCGGGACTGAGATCCCTCACACATCTGGGCAAAAAGAGAACCATCTCGCAAGGACCTGGGTATCTAATACTATCAGTGACATTGGGCATATCCCAAAGTGGAGGAGAAGATGGCTCTTCTTTTCTTCATCCCTCGCACAATTAATTGGAGCAAGGCTACACTTGAAGAAAAGTTCCTGCATCCTTTTGAGGGGTTTTGTGTCCTCCAGTCTGCCGTGTTCTCCTCGGAAGAGAGGCTTTCCGGTTGAGTCAGTCAGAAAGCATCTGTGGAGTCCAGCCGGGGTCGCACCCCCCATTCCACTGCTGCAATTGCTCTGTCTTTAGTGATTAGGATAGAATCCTTTGTGTTGTAATGAGGGACATTCTCTACAGTCTATATTTTATACAACTTAGCAAATTTTGGATTCTCTCAGACAGTTTATTGTCGCAGAAAACTCTGTGTGTGTGTGTGTGTGTGTGTGTGTGTGTGAGGGATGGCGTATGTATTTACTACAGTTAAATTTGTTTTATAAATAATTTGGATATTTACATCTGCTCTCCTTTCCCCCTCCCCCTTGTATCACTTTCATCAGTAACAACCACAAGTCCCATTATAAGAAGTATTGATTCCACAAAAGCGTAAATGCGTATTTGTTTAACTCTCTGCAGCAGGACTTACTGTCTATATTTTCAGTATTTGCCCGGCATAACAATTGCAGACTGAGGTTCAGGGTTTCAGTATCTCATTGTGCCTCATGGGTACTTCTCTATCCTGGTGACATACTACCTCAGGATACCGTCTCTTTGCCCAATGAGCCACTGCAAGTCTACTTTTGGGGATGAAACACTGCTTTATGGCTGCTTTGTTCTGGGTCTTTATACTATACTAGCCAATCCATTGTAGCAATGACAGAATTTAGATAGAAGTTGCTGGAAAAGCAACTAACAGGAGGGTGTCAGATAAAGTAGGAAGTGCCTACTTGATCTTCTTCCTTCTACCATTCTACTCTTACATGTAACTGTTCATGCTATATTGTTTTCTGTGCATAAGAAATACCAATTTAGCACATTCACAGCCTGATTTTGATCTTGCACTATTTTTAGGCAGTTTACCTCCATTGACTTGAATTGAAGCACTTGTGACTTAAACTGGTGTAGATGAGATCATAATCCTGCTCTCATGTCAAATCTTTGTAGGTTGCAGTAGTTATTTGTTTTGGACCAATGTACATCCAGTGCATCACTCTCAGCACTGCTTACCTCACTACCATGTCATGCATGTTTCTCTTCTTTCTAAATTCTGTGTTCCATTGTTGTCTTGCAGCACCATGTATACCTGGAACTTCATACTGTTCGTGGTCTGACTGGATTGATGTGAGTTACCCAAAATATGGCCCAGATGGTGGTGATAATGAAACCTATGCCAAAATCAGAGCATGGAATGCCTCAGCGATATGTGAGAATCCACTAAATATTTCATGCAGAGCTCAGAAATTCCCTGATGTCTATTGAAGATTTAGGACAAAAAGTGCAATGTGATGTTTCCACTGGGCTTACCTGTAATAATAAAGACCAAGTCCTAGGGGGCATGATTCCTATGTGCCTCAATTATCAGATCCGTGTTTACTGCTGCTCACCGCCTTACCCCATATGTTCAACTACCACTCAAACGATGACACCTACCACCACCACCACCACAGCAACGACTACTCCAGGTAAGTGTTTCACAGCAAGATTGCATAGACCTTTGTCTTCACACAACTGTTTATATCTATGCGCTTGCATGGCTTTATCATGCTGAACTAAGAAAGCTTGCAAATTCTAGATGATGTTCTACCCTGCAATGGGGGGAACCTCAGATATAGGTATGACTGGTGTTCTCACCATGATGAAAATGTTCCTGAATCTCAAGGTCCCAGCTGGGAGTCTGAAGCAAGTGTTGTAAATCTTTGGGGCTGATGCACTAATGGAAGGTGCTGCTAGTGTCTGGGACACAAATCTTGAACTGAATGTTGCTGGGATTTGAACTACTGTTTTCATTTATCTGGAACTCTTATAGTGAGATTTCTTATTATTCCATTGCAGTTACCACCACAATCTCTTCAACCCCTTCAAGTAAGTTTCTTAATAAGGAATCTCCTCATTGTGAAACATGGTAGGTAGAAAACAAGGGAAAAGGAAGAAAAAGAGATAGCCAGGCAGCAAAGAAATACATTTTCATTTTAGAATGGTAAAAGAATATGTGTGCGTACGTGTGTAATTCATCCTTACATTTTTCGAATTAAGTTGCAAAACAAAAGCTTGCTTTTAAACAGACATCTTCAGATGTCCTGTAACCAGATATGATTCCCATAAAAGTCTCTAGGCCTTAATCAGTGATGATGTAAAGGCTGGTGTAAGAGAGACAGGAACCAGAATCTCCCTGAAAGGCAAATCTTTGACGTTTTCACATGGCCCAGAAAATGGTGATTAGAAACCTATGAAAAAATCACAGTATGGAACTCCTCAGCGATATATGAGAATCCATTAAATATTTAATGCAGAGCTAAGAAATTCCCTGTCATCTCCATTGTAGTTTAGGACAAAAAGTGCAATGTGTTGTTTTCACTGAGATTATCTGTAATAATAAAGACCAAGTCCCAGAGGGCCTGATTCCAATACCCGTCTGCCTCAATTATGAGATCAGTGTTTACTGCTGCTGGCCAGAATACACCACAATTACAACTACCACTCCAATGACTATTGAGCCCTCAGTGCCCGTCAGTACATCTACCACCAGCCCCCCAACCCTCCCCTCACAACTACCACTGTGCCTCCAACCCCCACACCCACATCTACCACCAACCCACACTCCCACCAACACTAGTACCATTTAGTCTCCAACCCCCACAGCCGCAAACTCAACTTCCAATATATCCCTAATGTAAGGCTTGAGTGGAAGGATTGATTGCAGCCTCACTGGATATGCATATTAATGATCACATTTGTCTTTTCCCTAAATATATGCAGTCCTTGATTCCACCAGGCCTCTGGTGAATTCTAGTGAATAACACTGATGTTCTTACAAGAAAGACTCAACCTATGTGAAGCCTAAGGTAGAATTTTAAGAATCCAGGACATAGTAATGCTCTGTGCAATCAAATTTATGTCATTTAGCATAGTTTGGATTCATGGTACCTTCTGTCAAAGAGATCATTATTACAAGAGGCAATGTGGTAAGGGTAGAATATGTATTTACTATAGTAATTTTTTTTACAAATGATTTGGATATTTACATTTGGTTTTCCTACCACCACAGTAACGAGTACCCCACCGACGACGACACCTACCACCACCACCACCAAAACAACTACCCCAGAGACGACGACACCTACCACCACCACAGGAACGACGACACCTACCACCACCACAGAAACAACCACCTCAGAGACGACGACACCTACCACCACCACAGTAACGACGACACCTACCACCACCACCACCACCACCGAAACAACTACCCCAGAGACGACGACACCTACCACCACAACAACTACCCCCGGGACGATGACACCTACCACCACCACAGTAACGACAACACCTACCACCACCGAAACAACTACCCCAGGAACGACGACACCTACCACCACCATAGTAACGACAACACCTACCACCACCACAGTAACGACAACACCTACCACCACCACCGAAACAACTACCCCAGGAACGACGACACCGACCACCCCCCCCCACCACCACCGAAACAACTACCCCAGTGACGACGACACCTACCACCACAACAACTACCCCAGGGACGACGACACCTACCACCACCACAGTAACAACAACACCTACCACCACCACCGAAACAACTACCCCAGGAACGACGACACCTACCACCACCACAGTAACGACAACACCTACCACCACCACCGAAACAACTACCCCAGGAACGACGACACCTACCACCACCACAGTAACGACAACACCTACCACCACCACAGTAACGACAACACCTACCACCATCACCGAAACAACTACCCCAGGAACGACAACACCTACCACCCCCACCACCATCACCGAAACAACTACCCCAGTGACGATGACACCTACCACCACCACAGTAACAACAACACCTACCACCACCACCACCGAAACAACTACCCCAGCGACGACGACACCTAACACCCCCACCACTACCACCGAAACAACTACCCCCACGACGACGACACCTACCACCACCACCAAAACAACTACCCCCACGACGACGACACCCACCAGCACTGAAACAACTACCCCCACGACGACGACACCCACCACCACCGAAACAACTACCCCAGTGACAACAACACCTACCACCACCACCACCACCGAAACAACTACCCCAGTGACAACAACACCTACCACCACCACAGTAACGACAACACCTACCACCACCACCACCACCGAAACAACTACCCCAGTGACGACAACACCTACCACCACCACCACCACCACCGAAACAACTACCCCAGCGACGACAACACCTACCACCACCACGGAAACAACCACCTCAGAGACGACGACACCTACCACCACCACCACCTCAGAGACAACGACACCTACCACCACCACCACCACCACCGAAACAACCACCTCAGAGACGACGACACCTACCACCACCACCGAAACAACCACCTCAGAGACGACGACACCTACCACCACCACCGAGACAACGACACCTACCACCACCACCACCACCACCGAAACAACCACCTCAGAGACAACGACACCTACCACCACCACCGAAACAACCACCTCAGAGACAACACCTACCACCACCACCACCACCACCGAAACAACTACCCCAGTGACAACACCTACCACCACCACCACCACCACCGAAACAACTACCCCAGCGACGACGACACCTACCACACCCCCCACCACCACCGAAACAACTACCCCAGCGACGACGACACCCACCACCACCGAAACAACTACCCCAGTGACAACAACACCTACCACCACCACCACCACGGAAACAACCACCTCAGAGACAACAACACCTACCACCACCACCACCACCACCGAAACAACGACCCCAGTGACAACAACACCTACCACCACCACAGTAACAACAACACCTACCACCACCACCACCACCGAAACAACTACCCCAGTGACGACAACACCTACCACCACCACCACCACCACCGAAACAACTACCCCAGTGACGACAACACCTACCACCACCACCACCACCACCGAAACAACTACCCCAGTGACGACAACACCTACCACCACCACCACCACCACTGAAACAACCACCTCAGAGACGACGACACCCACCAGCACTGAAACAACTACCCCCACGACGACGACACCCACCACCACCGAAACAACTACCCCAGTGACAACAACACCTACCACCACCACCACCACCGAAACAACTACCCCAGTGACGACAACACCTACCACCACCACCACCGAAACAACTACCCCAGTGACAACAACACCTACCACCACCACAGTAACGACAACACCTACCACCACCACCACCACCGAAACAACTACCCCAGTGACGACAACACCTACCACCACCACCACCACCACCGAAACAACTACCCCAGCGACGACAACACCTACCACCACCACCGAAACAACTACCCCAGCGACGACAACACCTACCACCACCACCATTACAGAGACAACGACACCTACCACCACCACCACCACCACTGAAACAACTACCCCAGAGACGACGACACCTACCACCACCACCACAGTAACGGCAACACCTACCACCACCACAGAAACAAGTACCACCACAAACATACCCGGATGTTTGTTACCTAATAATACTATCATTCCAGTAAGTATATTTCACATTTTTATTATATGTCTATGAAAGGAGACCAAGTTGTACTACTATATGTGCAATTTGGAGGATGCTATCTTGTGATATTTTAATTCATTCATTAACATAGTGATCCTCTGTTATGCTGGGTATATAAAGATTTTTCCATCTATGTCATATTAATTTCTTGGCTATTGTCATGGCACTCAGTGACCCTTTCTCTCATTATGGTAGCTTAGACATCATAACATTCTTTGAACTTAAGCTCTCAAGTGGCATTTCTTCAAGGGATCATATCACAGTGCAGAGCTGTGAAGGAGCTTTTGTGAAAGAGTGACCAAAAAGTCTCTTACCAGCAGCAAATTCCACATTCCATCCCTTCCTCTTTATCTTTCTAGTATTTGTCAGAATGATTATGCCAAAGTACCAACTCATCTACCAACCCAATTCAGTCATGAACTGTATCCCTGATTAGATTTAATAGGCCATATCCTGAATAGCATAGAGAATGTGTTGAAAACCTGGAACTCCCACTGAAGTCAATAGCCCAGCCCCTTTCTAGATTGGACCCAATAACTTTTCAATCTGTAGCTCATGGCTGCTCTCTCCTAAGCAGTTGAAAATGTCTTACTCTAAAACAGTGGTGCTCAGCCTTTTAGAGACGGAGATCCTCTTCATCACCAAATGCAGTTGCAGGGAGACAAAAATAACCATGCTGTGACATACTGACAATGTAACATCATCCTGTATTGTCATGGTGCATGGATGTGAACATCTCGGAACATTGCACCAGAATTACTTTGTGTCTCACTATGATTCCATTTTATATGATCAGATCTCCCCTCCATTTTGGCTCTTTGTTCTGGGAAGGAGGCGTGTTACTCCAATCTTTTTCCATTTCTAATTCCATCTGGAAAGAAACTTGAGGCACTTCTTGTAGGGCCAAAGAGGGGTCTTGGCAATGCCAGTCCATTTTCTTTTTGCCACTGTGCTCTGCCTTGCATGCATCAGGTTGCATGGGGACCACTCCTCTGATCTGCAGGCTTCTGAAGCCAGGGATAGCAAGAGGAGCTCAAATCAAACAAATTTAGGTAGCGCCTCATGAAGTGCTCTGAAGGGGGTGTATTTGCCTCTAGTAGCACAAGGTTGGAATCACTGCACTAAAGACTTATTAAAGTGTACAAAGTTTTTACAGGCATGGCATATTCACCTGCACCTTTACTTTATGCTTGTGAAATGTGACATACAAAATAATTTTGGATCCATCTATTGGTTGACTGATGATAATCTTTCCAAAAAGACTATTAGTTGTCAATACCTCCGGTGAAGCTGCTGTTTTACACTGTGACCCAGGGAAGGGAAATCAGAATAAAACCTTGGTGACTGGCATAGTGCTCATAATAAATCCTTTACAGTCAATAATTATCAGTGCAGCAATCTCATTTTACAGACCTTGATGACAGTGCTGAATGGCGTGCTTTATTCTCACTTTCAAATATTTGTTTGGAATAAAGATGTTGGGAATATAAAGCTGTGTAAAATATCCAGAAATCAATTTTTTGTTTATTAGTCTGATTGCTTCATTGTAGATCTCACCTTCCACCCCTCTCTTCTTCTGTCTTAAATCCAGCCAGGTGAAAGCTACTGGCCATGTAACTGCACCAAGGCAATATGCATTTCCAACAACACATGGTACCTGGTTACGACTGAATGTGAACTTCCTCCTAAGCCCAGTTGTACCAATGGGCTCTCTCCTGTGCTGGTGCAGGGTGAATGCTGTCCGCAGTGGCAGTGTGACTGTGAGTATATAGTTTGAAGGATATTTTTGTCTCTGATGGAGACAATAATAGTTACAAGAGCTACACTATTTGTAGTGGGGGCAAGTGCTGTGCAAGTTTAGCCCTTCATATCCCTAGCAACGCAATTCAGTCTTAACTGTAGTACCACTTGCTAGCTTAGTCCTGGTGCCCCCCAGCTCTGCCACAGCACTTGCTTTTAACAATGTTTCATGAAATGCTATATTCTTCAGTCTTTCATTTTAGCTTTTTATTCTGTTAAATTATTTGAATTATTCAATTACAAATTAATATGTATGAACCCTTGATATAAATTAAGGTTAACAATGAAAAAATGCATTCAGATTTTGTTCTTCAAATTGTTTGGCTCTGGCAATTTTTTTTATGATGTCATCTATACAGACCTGATGATACCACTTAATTACTCATGTCAACTGGTAGTTCACTACACGAGTAGTCCCATCAAAATAATTCGGCATATGGTACTACATGGCAGGAGAAGAGTGGTGGAATGTGGCCCTATATGATTATGTTAAAGATGGGCCCAAGCTGCTGAATTTGGATCCTGAGACAGCTGCTTGAAATGATCTTGAACTCTTTGATCCGGAAACTCTCACAAGTACAGGCCTACTTGTGAGAGTAATGGCACTTACTGATTTCAACTTGGTCGGAAATAGCACAAGAACAGCCTCTTTCAGAGAATTTTTGGTATTTCTGTTTGACGTCCTGTCTGAAATCTGGAGATCCAGGAAATGAAAAATGTAAACATAGAAAGAAAGAAACAAACAAACATAACAAGAAACAGTTCAGCTTCTTTAAATATGAAAAAGTTCCAGTTTGGGTCCAACTGAGGTTTTAGATTAATTCTCTATACTTATCTATAGTGCGCTTCATCCAGGTTCTCTCGTTCCTATTTGACTCCAATGCTAGTAGGGTATATTGGTCTTCCACTTACTAAAGACTTTATTCATAGTCTAGCTCTGCTTTCATATGTCACCATATACAGCTAAACTAACTCTCATTCTCTCGGTAGGCTATTGCACTGGTTGGGGAGACCCACATTATGTGACATTTGATGGACAGTACTATAGCTACCAAGGGAATTGTACGTATGTCCTGGTGGAAGAGATTAACAAAAAGATTGACAACTTTGGAGTCTACATTGACAATTATCACTGCGATGCACGGGACAGAGTGTCCTGTCCACGCACACTCATCGTGAGACACGAGACCCAGGAAGTGCGCATAAAGACTCTCAGAATGTTTCCTTTCCAAATACAGGTATTGGAAAGTGACTAATAAACCAAATGTACATGCTCAGATTGGTATTGATATACAGCTACACCTGCCCTCACTTAATCAGATTCACATCTTTATACGCTAGTGGCACTCAAAGCTGATAACTTTGGCAGCAATGTTAGGAAAATGGAATATTTGTTCTGTGGGTTGCTTTGAAGGAGTTTTATAGGAACACTACTTCATCTGCATATAGAAAGAGATCATCCCCCTCATCCCCTTTTCTAAACTCAGATCTTTACAATCCCCTGACCGTTCAAAACATGGATTATAGGAAGAATCCATTTTAGCTGACAACATAAAATGGAATACTGTATTATGACTTTTAAGGATTTTAATGTAGATAACAGCCTAAAGGAATAAATGTTATAGTAGATCAAAGGGTTTCCAATGAGCAAGGATCATCCCATTGTCCTTGTAAAGCAGGATTGAGGGAGTGATTGCAGGAGGGCATTGGATCTTTTTGGGGTTTGAACAAAAGACCACATTTGAATTAGAGATGGGAATCAAAGTGGTAGGCCAAGATGTTTCTAAAAGACATCCTCAACAGGCCAATGGCTTGGTGATAGTAGTCACACCTCAAGATGAGTTAAGATGCTTCCATTTTTGATTTTTCAAGTGAAGGGCTGTCATCAGTTTTATGTCATTGTTTAGCCACCATGTTCCAAGGATTAGGCTGTGGCATGTAATATAATCTGTTTTCTTCAAAATGTGTTGGAAGTACTTACTTTTAGGGTTCTTCATCTCCTTATTTTCCATCAGCAGATCTCTGCTGACTTTTGGACTATTAAGGTGGGGAATTTTAGAGGTGCAACTACAGGTAAAGTGTTGCAAGACTACAACATATGGCTAACTTCCCCATTGCCTCCTGAGACTGAGCAAAACTTATCAGTCCTAGATGAGCTTAAGGGAGATGCACTAGGCCAGTGGTTCTCACACTTATTTGATCAGGCCCAGCTTCTTGGTGTCTGTAGTCATTTATGCGCCCTCCCCACAAGTACATGTACTGCCACCCAGCTCTGAAGGTAGAGTGGACAGCAGCAGCTGCTGGCCAGGCACCCAGCTCTGAAGGTAGAGTGGACAGCAGCAGCTGCTGGCCAGGCACCCAGCTCTGAAGGCAACACTGCACCAGCACAGAAGTCAGGGTGGCAACAGGAAAAGTGACTTTCGTCAATATCACTTTTCACAGCAGACTTAGAAGTAAAGGTGTAGCAGTGCAGAAGTAAGGGAGGCAATGTGAAAAGTGATGTTTGTTATCCCTTTTCACCGCAGACTTAGTGCCCCATTGCCAGCCTTACTTCTGCACTGCTGCTGACAGGCGCAGCCCTGCTGCCCCAGGGCTGAAAGCCTGATCCACACTACCTCCATGTAAGGGATGGGAGGGGGGGCAGGAGGAGAGCCTGAGCATGGGCTCCTTCCCAGTGAGGGATTGATAAGGCAGGAGCCTGAGCTTGGGCGGTGGGGCTCTGGCTGTCCCCTTTATCCCTGCCTCTCAGCTGTGCACAGTCCTTCCGCACAAGCACCAGCCACCCAGGGTTGACAGCCCAAGCTCTTAAAAAACAAACAACACCCCCCCTCCCCACGGACCTCCCTTGACATATTCCTGCACCACCCCATAGTTTGAGAATCGCTGCACTAGGCCCACCACCTTGTTTTGAACTAGTAAATGATAAAAAATTTCTCCCCATATTTCATTCAATTCCATTTTTGTACAAATGTAGATCAAAGGTTTCCATTTCTTTGGAGCATTTTGGGGAGAGAGAGAAAATTTCAGCTCAGGTGCAGTGAAAATTTAGCAGGCATCTCCTATTACATTTAAGGGGGGCTGCATTCTAAATTCCATCCTCATTTCTCCAAAATTCTGCAAATGTATCCCCAGGCTGATGTACCCCTTCATTGGGCCTTAGAGAGAGAGTTCAACATTTCAGTCACATGTGCAAAAACATATAGCTCATTAGAAATAGAAAGCAAGGAAGCTCTGAGACATAAACATAACATTACTTTCCTTTATATTGTATCTCCAATGTAAGTTAATGATTGATAGATAGTTTTTATTAACATCATACAAAATGTCTCTTCTCCGTTTCCTTTACACATTAGGTGACGGTAAACAATAAGGAAGTGGCTACACCTTACGAAAAATACGGCGTGAGAGTCTTTAAGTCAGGCATAAATCATGTAGTGGACATTTCTAGACTTGGGGTAAACGTAACCTACAATGGATTGGCTTTCTCAATTAGATTGCCCTACCAGAGGTTTGGCAACAACACCCAAGGACAGTGCGGTGAGGATCTATTTTTCTACTTTTAGAATGAAATACAAAAAGTTAAATGTAAGCTCTGGCAGTAAGAGAGATGTGTTGCTGGTTCTCTGTGATGGATGGAAATACAATGATTATTTGATAGTGAAGATTTGTGTGTGAATTCTTCTTCCTGTTGTCAATTTTAGGCACTTGTACCAACAACACAGCAGATGACTGCATGTTACCAGGTGGAGAGATCATAAATAACTGTGAAACCATGGCAGATCATTGGGTGATTAATGACACTGAAAAGCCACACTGCTTTCCATCCCCACCTACAACGGCACCTTCTATCACCCCACCACCCTGCAAACCATCTGATCTCTGCAAGCTCATTAAAGAAGGGTAAATATACTAGAAGTGTGTACAGACCTTTAATTTTGGAATTCAGTGGCAATCTGAAATGCAAATATTTGCTGTTGCTTCATCGTCTCTTGCAGCTGCTTCTGCTCCTTCTCTCTCTTCCATTCCCTCTTTTCCATTCTCTCTAGCTTCCCTCCTAATCTGTTTTAATCTTTGCAACTTGCTCACTGCCTTTCAGCCTTCTTTAATGATTCTTCGGCCCTCTCATACTCTTCTGGGATCCCTTGTCCTTCTCCATCCCTTTCCACTTTGCTCCTCTACCATGCTCTCTCAGCAGTAGATGTAGGTCCCCTGAAGATCCCAAAGGGATCTCATGCTTGAGTTTCAGGATGTGGCTTCAAAAAGAGGAAATGTCCAACCAAGTCTTATCCACAACTCTAATTCATGGCAACGCTCAATTATATTCCTCCAGCTACTAGGTGGGAAGCAGTATTTTGGAAAGAGAGTAGTGGGTGGATAGTCTAAAGATTAAGGTCTAAGTGTGTTGGAAGGCTGCACTCCAGCGAAATGTTGATCTATCATTGATGAGTCCTGTTCAAATCTCCCATCATGCTAAAATATGGCATACAGCATATTAAACTGAGCACGGATCATTCAGTAAATAATAATGATACATGTTTCTGCTTCTAGCCCGTTCAAAGCATGCCATCCCTTTGTCAACCCTGACCACTTCTATGCAGCCTGCGTTTTTGACAGTTGTGCTGTTCCCAATTCTAAATTGGAGTGTGCAAGTTTGCAAAGCTACGCTGCCGTCTGCGCTGACCAGGGTGTCTGTGTTGATTGGAGAGGACATACCCATGATACCTGCCGTAAGTAGAGACATTTTTCTGCCATTTAACTCGAACTATTGGTTGTAGGGTCTATTTCAGTTCCCCTTTCGTTAATGGGTTACTTGGCTCTCCAAGTCTCTAATGACTGTAATAAACACCAAAAGCTTTGTTGAAATAATTTTACAGGCCAGATTTCAAAGATGGGGGAAATAGATGAGCCTGTAAAAATGCATGTGTTCTCATTGTGAGTGAAATGCTCTACATCTGTTTGAGCAAATGCCTGTGTGCCCAGTATGTGGATTTTGCAGGCACAATGGGTGCATTTACATATTTAATGGGAGACCAACTTTTTTTTGCTGGTGCAGTGTGGGGGCATTCCTATCTTCGAAAATGTGGCTCTAAGAAACCCTAGCAAACAAAAGTATTTGTATTCAGAAGGTCAAATCCTGTCCTTACCCTGGCACAACAGGATGGGGATGTGCTTTGCATATGTTACTTAATGTAAAATCACCTACCACCCAGAGGCCCTGCAATACCTGTCTACTTGCGGGAGGGGCCATGGATGGATTTTTCCCTCTTAAGTCTGAGTTTCTTGGTTGTTATGGTTCTCAGTCAGACCTGCAATGTTATTGAATGAGTGTGACATATTTTTAAATCTATTTGTTTCCAATGTTTGTTTGAAGATTATCAAAGGTGTACATTTGCTGGACCTGCTTATGATGGTCTTGCTGAAATATTTCTTTCTCTGTATTTCTTCCATTCAAGCTCTTGAGTGCCCATCACACAAAGTATACAAAGCATGTGGTCCTATTGAAGAGGTGACCTGCAAGTCAAGGTAAATAGTAACTTTCCTGCCAGTCAGGTCCCATGCAACTACCCACTGATAGATAATCTACAGAGAAGTGAGGAATATCCAATTTAACAATCTTGATTTAAAATAGAAATCTTTGAGACAGCCTTTAACTGGTTATCATTGTATCTGCCCTGGTATCCTCTCATACAGCTGAATCAAATACTGTATAGTGGAATAAACTAAGATTAGAATCAGGATGATTTACAATCTGTAAATGTCACATGTGCAGTTTCTTTTGCCCATATATTTCTGGATAAAATATATTTGGCCAACCTTCCACTGTGTGTCATTGATGATAATGGTGGTCTTTTTTGTCTTGTACAGCCAAGTTGCACAAAATCAAACCAGTCACGTGGAAGGCTGCTTCTGTCCTGAGGGAACAATACCTTATGGTGATGGTGTGGATGTCTGTGTAAAAATCTGTGGTAGGTTGTGTTACCATATTTAAATGTATTGCATTTCATTTTTGTTGTTGCCAGGTCATTTATACAATATAGTTCTGAATCTGGCTACCTGTCATCGTATCAGTGGTAATGGAGATTTATTTTGCTCTATTTGCAGGGTGTGTTGGACCAGATAATGAACCTAGAGAGGTATGTTACACATTTGCTTTGCCATTGCAAGTATTTTGTTTCTCCTCCATACCAGTCCTGTTTTGTAAAGACTCCCAGGTTTTCATCCATACACTTATTTGGTAGGTGAGTGGAATTTTGAAAATCCTTGATTTATATTTATCTCAGCTTGACTTATACATTAGTGGGAGATATTGTCTTTAGACAGCTCCTGATGATCAGTTTCCAGACTACAAAATAGTTAATTTATAATTCCATTCTGCTCCCTTCTAACACGTACATGTACACATACTTACACTTAAACACACAGCACAGCCCACTGAAAACAACAGATTTATGTTTTTTTTTTCTCTTCACTAACTATTCATTTAATTGCTTTCTTCTCTTTCTTTAATGACAGTTTGGGGAAAGGTTTGAGTCTGACTGTAAGAATTGCATTTGCCTGGAGGGTGGAAGTGGCATTGTCTGTGAGCCCCTCAAATGTTCAGAGCAAGAGGATAAACCAAGCTGCAGTGACGAAGGCTTTTACGAGGTCACTGAAGTCAATCCTGCCAACATCTGCTGCAACATAACTTCCTGCAGTAAGTTCCCCTTTTGCTTCATTTACAGCACTCTACTGCCCCTCAGACTTTCTTTTGCAATAATGGTTGCATTATTCATTTGTGTTTAATTAATTGAGATTAGTCTGTGAAGCCCAGGCCAGCTAAATGCTTGGACTGAGCCCGGCCAAGTGGCATATTTCTCTCTGTAGCCGGTATTTTACATTTCTCTTGGCTTTTTCCCTTTGCAGGATGCAATGTGACCTTTTGCACAACCATCCCTCCTAAATGTAAACTGGGTTACGAACTTGTTGGCGATATTCCCCCTGGCAAGTGCTGTCCTACATATGAGTGCGGTAAGTCACTTTTAAATATATGAGAACAGTCAGTATTGCTTGAGCATTAAGCTTGGTAGCCAACACTGAATGCTTCTCTTTCGGAGGAGGCAACAAAACCAGGCTTAGATTCTAGGTTGCTACCATGGGCGAACCCAAGTAGTAGCTGCGAAAATGGTAGTGCAAGGGAGATGAGAGATAGCTCACCCTGGTCAGGTCAAATATTTCTGGTTATATGCCTATGTAAGAATAGTGGGATTGTTGACTGGGTCTTGAGTCCTCCCATAAGAAATTGTCCCTATGAACTTTAGCGATAGGAAAAGCAGATGACCATTCCTGGATAGTTCCAACTAAACATATCAGGAAACAGTTTGCAACTGTCCAGTGGACATCCTGGGATGTAAAACCTGGGATATAGATATTCAAACCAGACAGCCTTTCTCTTTTGTGGGTGCAAATTGTACCTTACAATATTTGTGTCCATGTATTGCACAATTTGCACTGCAAAAAGAGAATCTGGGTGACACTTTTAACATTTCTGTTGTGATTATTTGTGGAGGAAATTTGCATGACTGGGATAATAAAATTTGGCACTTTCCTTGCATGTATAACCATACAACTTTTGCCTTATTTCACAGTTCCCAAGAAGGTTTGTGTGCTTCAGAATGCTGAGTACTTGGTAAGTTTCCATTTCTTCATGAGAAGGACTCATGGGTCCCAAGAAACATTTGAGTCCCAAGAACACTCTTTAATTTACGTGCTTTGAGGCAGTTTGCATTTGGTACAATTAATTTTTAGAGACAACTTCCCCACTCCCCCCACCACCCCAAGCTGTAGTCAGGGGTTTATCTGTTACACAGAGTGTAACACTTTTCAGAGAAAGTTGCTGCAGGTAAGAGAGAATGAAGCACTGGCTCTAAGCAGCAGCATCATGGATATAAAGATTTGTTCTTAATACACAATGTACATATCCCTAAAAAATTAAGGCACATTTAACATCAGCACTTTGCTGCACGATATTAAGGCCTTGCTGTCACAAATAAAGAGGGATGGGTAAGGGCCACATTCTGTACTGGCTTACATCCCCTATAATTCTATTGGCTCCAGTAATTATTTTATTTATTTAATACAGACAGATATTAAGTTACCCACTTCGTATGCACCATAATGCATAGCATGAATATTTGTCCTCTGTGTCTATGACGTGTTTCCCCTAGTGGATGTTTGTTTGTGGGGGAAGTATTGGATATTAGAGATACGTTTCTCATACACATCATGCCTTGCTAATACCAGAACTCTTGCTTTTTAAAAAAACATCTAGCCTGGTTCCCCAGTCCTTGCTGATAAGTGCCACACTTGTGTCTGCACTGACAAATCGAACAGTAGTGGTCTGAATGTCATCTCATGCAAGCACATTCCGTGCATTAAAGTGTGCCAGCCAGTAAGTAACAAACTTTAAAAAAAAAAATTTTTCATGCACATTTTCTTGAAAAGTAGCCATGCTTGAGAGAGGTATGTTCTAAACAAATGAGTGGGAATTCCTAGGTCCTAATTCGAGCTCTGACATTGGCTCACCTTGGGCAATCAGTTTTCTGCCTCTTAAAGATGGTGATAATAATACTTATGAGCATCAGAGTCATGTTGTGAGGATTAGCTAACCGTGTTTTAAAAAATGCTTTGAAGATAAAGTGACATCTAAGCACAGTGTAGTTATTATAATGCCTTTGTTGCCTCCATTTATTTTCTACTTTCATTATCCCTTTTCTCTTCACCTGGTGATCTCCGTCTGTTAGAAAACACGACAGATCTAGATTATCCTTAAAATCATAATCAGTGCTGCTATTTAGCTGGGTTTTTACAGAGCGCCTTAATCTGGTGCTCAGACTATTACATTTTTGTTTGTTTCTCAAATATTTCTTTTAACCTAGTGCTTTTTTAATTCCTAGGGATATGAACTTAAAGATGTGAAAGGGGAATGCTGTCCAAAATGCGTGCAGACCAAGTGTGTTGTAAATAAGGATGACAACACTGTCCTCATCTTGAATGTAAGTGTGCTGCTGTTCTTAGGAGTCTACCAAACTTGTAGCATTCCTGTTGTATTCTTCAAAGTGTTAACTGGGAGGAAAGACATGGCAATTAGTGATGGGGGAAAGGAAAGGTTCAGTGGTTAAATTCAGATGTGCATTTAAAAGTTCAGCTGCTCATCTGAAAGAAAGTTATCTGAATTTCTCTGATCTGGAAGACAGCCTGATCTGATAAGATCTCCAACCTTTCTCAGAAATACTATGAGAAGAGCCTTTCTTGCAGTTTTTTTGACCAAGAAGTGGAAAGGTCCCAGAAAAGCTTGAACATGATTCAATTGTGTTGCCTTTTTTGAGTAAAGGGCTATTCCTATTTAATAGCTACCAGTTTACTCATCATCCCTAATCAAAATATCACCCACTTATTTGTCCTTATCTCCAGAATCCCTTGGTTCCACACAGGGATTTTTTTCTTTCCCAAGGAAAATTCCATATCGAGCTCCAAAGATCCCCTCCACCCATGGGACCCCACAATACAGTCACTACCCTGCTAACCAAGGCAGTTATTTATCTAGTATTTTTATGCTGAGAAATGAGGAGAGTTTTTTCAGAAGATAGGAAGATTTCTGTCTAAGCCCATTCTGAATCCTTCTGAGTATGTGGAATTTCCTTTTTGTATACAGCCTGGTGAAATGGAAAACGATCCAAAAAACAACTGCACCGTTTATAGCTGTGTGTCGATCAAAGGTCAGCTCATCTCCTCCACCTCAGAGATTACCTGCCCATCGTTCAATGAGGAGAATTGTAAAGCTGTAAGTAAATTTGGGACATTCACTCTCATCCCTTTTGGCAATGCATTTTAGTTTGATCCAGCCACCTTACTATCAAAAGACACTACTGGGCAGAGGAGCTGCTATAACTGTTATTATCGGGGCTCAAATTCAGCCGGTGCTGTCTGGAGTGGAGCTCTGGCAAATATTTTCAAACCTGTGGGGCGTGCCCTGGAATGCCCCGTGTCTGAAGCCCGAAGCCCTGGCACCTCCCGCAGGGCTGAAGCCGCAAGCCCCAAATGAGGAGGGGCGTGGAGGGGCTCCGGGAAATAGTAGATAAGAATTTAAGCCCGGGGGAGGGGGTTATGATTTTTTGTTGTACTAATTTACTTGAAGCATGCTTCCATCCTGCAAAAGGGACATATGGTGCATATACTACATATTTATTGATGGGTTCTGAGGTTTATAGTAGGTAATTAGTGTCCCATGGCTTAAAAATTGACCAGTAGTGGGCTATAATGTCCTATCGCACTATAGTCTGCAGGATCCTGTTTGTATGAGACAGCATATTTTCATGAGTGTCCTGTAGACACAGTGGTTGCAATAAATAAGGGTTACCCCACACTTATTTCCTATTGAAAGTATTAGGAAATACTGTGGTATGTCAGACAAAACAGCGTGCAATTCATGGTAAACAGTAATTTGTAAGTGGTGAGCTTTATATGTCACAAGCCTTTCCTTCAGAGAATTACATATTCCAACAGATTCCATTGTGAATTCATAGATATTAAGGCCAGAAAAGACCATCATGATCATCTAATCTGACCACCTGCATAACACAGGCCACACAATTTCAACCAGTAATTCCTGCCATGGAACAAATTATTTTTCCCCACTGTGCATGCAGATAAGATACTTTTTTTAAAATACAGATAAGATATTTTTTTCTGATTTGTTTTCAGGGCACTGTTACGCTGCTGCCTAATGGTTGCTGTAAAACATGTGAGTATAATTACTCAGTGTTCATATAGTCACTACAAAACAAAATGGGGACCGGTTTTTCCTATCTGAAAGCTATTGCTAATACATATTAATTTAAACAGATGCAAGTACATTCATACTAGTTATTTTGTGGAGCATATAAAGTATGCTCAGAACAGTCAGACGCTGACTCTGCCCCAAGCAGCTTTCAGTCTAAGCTGAGAAAAGTAAATTATTTACACAGCAAAAGCCTTGGCTGAGTATGTGGTCACATAGCAGATTTTGTTGTTATTAATAAATCGGTGCTGCCATACAGGGGGCTTTGCAGCAAAAGTGCCTTTTGAGACAGGAAAGGCAGGTGAAGGAAAGGACCTAACTCAATGGCATCGGAAGACATTCCTAATGTAGCTCATCTACTGTATTTCGGGGGGTTTTCTGACTTTCCCTTCTGAATTGTTGAGTTCAGTGCCTAATGCAGTGAAGTGGGCCATAGAAATATCTAGATAAGAATTATAAGAGTTTTCTTTCTGGCCTTGGGTTTGAAACTCTGCCCTGGAAGCTGGTATGTTACAATTCCTGCCAGCAGTTTATTTGACACACCTCTAATAACTGGCTACTGCATGTGGCTTAGCAAAACATGCTCCTGAGCACTGATCTGGACACTAGTAACATTGATAGCACCAAACAATAATAATTCTGAAATCATTGTTTTGATTTAATCAGCCTTCACTCTTTTCTCCACAGACTCCCAAACGCTCTCACATACTTTGATTTTCTATAAACCTAAACAATATATGATAAATGAACCATTCTCTCTCTTCCTCACTTGTTTCATCATTTCCTTTGCCATTCAGCGGCTCCAATTAGGGACATGTTCAGTAGATAGTCTGTTCTCCAGGCAATCAATAGACAGCTACAGTTTAAGGGCTAAAGCTGAATGCTAAGGTGTTTGGCCTTTCTGGCTACTTTTGTGTTTTACACACAGTTATTTCAAAGCATCAGTGACTCACAGCCTGTGATGAAGCAGCATGGTGCTTTTGGAGCCATTTGACTGAAGGGCTTTCCCACTCTTTTCTCCCACAGGCATACCTCTTGAAAGCCCATCACCGTGTTCTGTCACCCAAATCTGGGACCATATCACCCATAAGGGCTGCCGTTCTGTGGACAAAGTCTACCTGACTCAATGTGAAGGATCATGTGGAACCTTCTCAATGTAAGTAAAGTGAAGCAGGCAAGGAGATGCTGAATTTAATTGACATATAGACTGTTCCTATAAAAGGGACAATACATAGCCAGGCTGAAGAATGGTAGAAGAGCTAGAACTGGCTTGACTCCCAGTCTCATGAGTACTGAAATTTGTAACTGGTTTGGTGAAACTGGCTGAAGGGTTGATGAAGTCCAAAGCAAAAGGACACATGGGGCTGCATCTTTGCTTCCAGAGAGCTATGTTGATTTCTTATTGCCTACAAAGCGAGAGCCAGCTCATTTGTCATTTGTGTTAGAGCAACTTGGATATGTGGCATTGAGTTCATTCCCATTGCAAGGAATATCCTAATGGTAGCCATGTCTGAACTTCAACAGCAGAGAAGCTACTTTCCAATGACGAACATATAACGGGAGGAGGGAAGAGAGAGAGACACTTTATTGAAATACACTTTGTGAGAAGGATTCAGAGGGAGACACTTGTTGTGTGGTAAAGAACTGAAAGGATGCGTGCTCAAGGGCTGTCTGTGACTCCTGAAATAATGGAGTCAGTATTATTGCTCTGGAATGAGAGAACTTTGAAGAAACCAGAGGTATAGCTGCTAAAACCTGGCAAGAAACCTGGAATACAGCTCCTGAACACCATCTGACAAATTAAGTCTATAACCAGAATTTCCCACTGGAATGATCCTTTGCAGCCTATCATTGAATACAATTGGCAGCCCTTATCTGGAGGAAAGCCCGTTTTTGGTTAATGTGGAAAATGAATCATAAATTCCTCATGGGGATTATTTATTTGTACTGCTGCAGTACCAACAGGCCCCAGTCAGGATCCCGTTGGGGTAGCCACTGTATATAAACATAAAAAGATGGCCCCTGACACAAAGAGTTTACTGTCTAAGTTAGGCTGATCCTTATAGGATGGTTAGGGCTGGTTTCATTGGAAGGATGATGCAGGGAGGGTTATATTGAAGCTGGCTACACTACATCTGATCTGCTGTGAACAGAAAGTATCTAACTTAAATGGTTTGGGGCAGGGATTTCAAAGGAGCCTAAGGAAATTGGGCACCCAACTCCCAGTGACTTCCAATAGGAGTTGGGTGCCTAATTCCCTTAAGCCCCTTTCAAAATCCTAGCCTTGATGGCTTGGTTTTTAAAACAGCAGACTACATGATACTTGAACCTGGGTGCCTAGCATTCTGCCAGCTGAGCTAAAGCAGCAGCTCCCCTAACTCTCACCATCAGAGGGCCCCTTTTACATATTATTCCCAATTCCTTACAGCAGCTTATTCACCAAAATTGCTCATCGTACTTCATTTCACTCTCTCTCTTTCTCTCTCTAATGCATGCCAGCTTATGGCAAAGTGTAATGGTATCTTTTTCCACACTAACAAACAGATACTCTGCTGAGGCCAACTCCATGGAGCACAAGTGTTCCTGCTGCAGGGAGGCAGCGACTAGCAAGAAGCAAGTTCTACTGCAATGCCCCAATGGGAAATCTGTGATGCACCGCTACCTGCATGTGGACCGTTGTGAATGTCTTGACACTAAGTGCACAGAATCCAACTCCTCAGAAAATTCCAAGAGCAACGAACAGTCCAAGGAAAGTGAAGAAAAGAGTACCATCCAACGTGTCAAGCGGGCCATTCAGAAAATACTGAAATGAAGGGGAGAAAAGTCATGGCGCACAAAAAGTACTAGGAGGGTCTATGCACCAGTCTCATCTTCCAAGAGTAAATCAATGCTTTGCCTTTTCTGACTTCCTCCTCTTCTGTGCCCTCTCTGACCATTTGTAACTGTGCTCTATTTATTTGTGTACAAAAGAGACAGAGTCTCTTTTGTTTAGTTTTACCGTAGTTTCTTTTGCTTTAAATGATTAAAAACTCATTTCAGATGTGAGAGCTCTTTATGTGTTTATTCACCAGCACTCTTGAGCCTTCAGAGCTTTAAAGGGAAGGGAGATCTGTCGAAGGCCTAAGCAGCAAAGTGCCAGATTTTCTAAGTCAGTTGAATAACTATTTTGGCTCTCTACGTGATAGAATCTGTAGAGGTCTAGATTCTGGGTCCCAAGGCTAGGCTCTTCTGTACCAGCATTATGATGCTATGTCTGCTAAAACAAAACATGGGAAAGATCAGGTTTAATTTACTAGAAAGCAGCCATTTTCAGACGATTTGGGGTTATTTTCAGACATATTATCTGTAGCCCATTATCAGGTCCTCTCTGTTTTCAACTTTGTTCTTTATGCATTAGAAATGCCTGAAGAGCTGCTTCTGGTGAATGATGATCCAGTAGTCAGTCAGTCATCAAATAAAAATAGCTGCACTTACTCACAGGAATTGAAAATTGAGGGCCATGTAGTTACATTGTGTGTGAAAAGTGCATCTAGCAGAAATCTGTGGCAATATTTGCACACTCATTGGTAAGCAGAAATTGTAGTCTACCCACCTAGCAATTTGGAATAAATCTGTATGTGCATAGCCACGGGCATAGTTTAAATACATGCATCCATGCCAAATAAGGCAGACGAGTTAATGACATAGAAGCCAACCTCTGTAGTTATGGTGTATTGTATGCTAAAAGTTAGCTTCCATCCTATTATGTATCATCTATTCCACCCATCTTTTGGCCTGCTAAATGCACGTCATCTAAGCAGGCATTCATCACCAAGGATACACAGTACAGTAAGTGGAACACAAGACAGAAGCTTTATATCATCACAAGAGTTTCATTGATAGATTCTACTCTACGGCTGGCCACTAGCACCCATCAACCATTGAGAGTTAAATTAACCCTCTCTTGGGTCTCATACCATGACAAAGTATTACATGGAATAAAAAATGCAAATCCACCATTCGTACCCACATTGCTTTCTCTTACCATTCTACCCCAGACCAGACATTTTTTGGGATAGCTATTATAAAAAGAGGCACCTCAAGTTATGTCAAGACATAGAGCTGGTGATCTCTTTCCATTGTTTTAGGCATAACAATGTTTTAAATAATTTATGCAATTAAAGGTTTTGCATCTAGACTGGCAATAGGTATGTTAAACTTTGTCCCATTCTTGATATGATTTCATGTGGCCAAGATATCATTATCCATTTCATGTCTACCTAGGCGCCCAATATATGGAGGTAACCCCCCCCTGCTTTACTTTATTATACATTTAGGACCAGATGTTTAAATGGAACATTGATGGGCTACAAAAGACTGCTGCAGTGGGTATCAGGAGTCCTGAAATTAACCCTGATATGATAGAAATGTCAGCATGCCAACAGTGTTAACTAGCCACTTCACCCTGAATGGTCCCTTGAAATGGTCCTTAACTACTTATTCTAAACAATCTGTCCCAGCTTGCATGTAGCAGTGACACTCTGAGTACTTTCCCCAGACCTGAGGAAGAACTCTGTGTAGCCAGAAAGCTTGTCTCTCTCAGGAACAGAAGTTGGTCCAATAAAAGATATTACCTCAACCACCCTGTCTGTCTAATATCCTGGGACCAACACAGCGACAACAACACTGCATACAGCAAGCCTCCCATAAGGATCAATTCAACTCCCGCTGAAGTCATCAGGAGTCTTTGCATTGATTTAATTGGCACTGAATTGGGGTGAGGGGTTAGAAAAAGTCAGTAATGCCTGTTTGTGCAACATCAGAAGTGGCTATCCTATCCCAGCTATGTTTGTGTAACATCTACCTCAGCTACTCATCATGAATTAATACACCTGGTTTGGCTGTGTGGAAGCCTACAGGATGGCATGTAGAAAGAGAAGGAAATGAGGTACAGGACTCATATGTACATTGAGCTGTGGGCTTAAATGCTTGGTTACATTGGAGAAGCAGAGTCCATGGATCAAGTGCTTACCTCCCTCTAACACAGTGGTGGGCAAACTATGGCCTGCGGGCCACATCCGGCCAGTGGGACCGTCCTGCCTGGCCCCTGAACACCTGGCACTGGAGGCTAGCCCCTGGCCCCTCCCCCGCTGTTCCCTCTCCCCCGCTGTTCCCCTTCCCCCACAGCTACACCACCACGCGGGCAGCACTCTGGGTGGCGGGGCTGCGCGCTTATGCAGGGCAGCACGGCAGCGTGTGGCAAGGCGTGGCATGGCTGCCAGACATGCTATTCTGAGTGGCATGGTAAGGGGGCTGGGGTTTGGGGGTTGGATAAGGGGCAGAGGATCCCAGGGCATAGTCAAGGGACAGGGAGCATGGGGTGGTTGGATGGGGCGGAGGTTCAGGAGGGACCAGTCAGGGGACAGGGAACAGGAATAGGGGATGGTGGTCCTGGGGGATAGGAGATGGGTGGTCCCAGGAGGGGGCAGTCAGGGGACAAGGAGCAGGGGGGGGTTGGATGGGTGGGGAGTTCTGAGGGGGACAGTCAGGGGGCGGGAAGTGGGAGGGGTCAGATAGGGGGTGGGGCCAGACTGTTTGGGGAGGCACAGCCTTCCCAACCCAAGCCCTCCATACAGTTTTGCAACCCCGATGTGGCCCTCGGGCCAAAAAGTTTGCCCACCCCTTGTCTAACAGGATGGAAAAAGGAGTTGTCATTTAAAAATATATATATTCCACATCACCATGTTTGAATTTAATACATGCTAAATTTATATTTGAGATCTAAACATCTTTTCTCATTGCCATCCTTTCATATTTGAATTGATTCTTCCCCTCGCCTAAAAAAAAATACTACCTCCTCTCCCCCTGCAAATATTTCTAAACAGCAAAGTTTTGTGACACACTTTAATGACAGTCTGTAAAAATGCTTTTGATAACAAGGCAGGTATTGGCTTCATCATAACAGGGAATTCTGATGCCAAGAATGCAACGTTATTTAAGGGACGGAAAGCAAGCTGCCCACACAGACTTCATCCTGCACAAAGCAGTTTATCCCTTGCTTAGTATGGAGTTTAAGTTTTGACTCTAATGAGCCCTGATATTCATCTGTATACCCATGCACCCCCACAGCAGGTTCTGCAAAACATGTGGCAATAGGAGATACAGATCTGCGCAGTTTGTTGGTCTTTGCAGTCCATCATTCTTGCTCACCAGATCCTTTCAGAACCCTGACTGGAGCCAGGAAATGAAAAATCATTTCCTGCCAGCAGACCTGTGTGTCAGACCTTATTAAAGATACACGCACGCAGTGGTTCTTAAACTTATTTTTGATCATACCCGCTTTCTTTGTGTCTGTAGTCATTTACCAGCCCCTTCCCCCACTTCTGCCATACAAGTACATATACCTCCGAAGGCAGCGCAGAGAGTGGTGGCTGGCCGGGCACCCAGCTCTGAAGGCACCATCACTGCCAGCAGCAGCGGAGAAGTAAGGGTGGTATGGTACGGCATTGACACCCTTCGCTGCTGCTGATGGCGGCGTTGACTTCAGAGCTGCGTGCCTAGCCAGCAGCTGCTGCTGTCCGGCTGCCCAGATCTGAGGGCAGAGAACTGCTCACCCTCCCACAGAATACATTCCGTGTCCCCCGGGGAGCACATCCCCAGTTTGAAAACTACTGCACCCAGGTAATAGAATTTCTGGCTGTACTATGGAAGTGGGGTTACTGGTTGTAGCTGGTCTTATCTTTTGAGGATGGAAATGGATTCTGGGGTATAGTCCTTTTTGCAGTGTGAGAGACCAGTGTTTGGGGGGAGAGATAGCTCAGGGGGTTTGAGCATTAGCCTGCTAAACCCAGGGTTGTGAGTTTAATCCTTGAGGGGGCCATTTAGGGATCTGGGGCAAAAATTGGGGATTGATCCTGCTTTGAGCAGGGGGTTGGACTAGATGACCTCCTGTGGTCCCTTCCAACCCTGATATTCTATGATTCTATGATCTCTCTGGGGACTCTATACTATTTGGAGTGCTTTTGCCTGTAATGGGGTTTACTCTGTAGAGGATATGACTATGAAGGGGGGTCCATCTTTGCAGGGTGGTTCCTGGCTGTAATGTGGTTCCCCTTTTGAGGGGACAGTTTGTAACTTGGACGTTTCTTTGGAGGGACTCTTGGCAGTAATGGGAGTTTGGGGTTTCCTCACATCAATAAGGGTTCTTTTCTAGGGGAAGTGGGAATGATTAATGGGCTTCCTTATATTTGGAATAAGAAGGACTCTTGGTTAATTATAGGGATTCCTGTTTGGTGGAAGGCATTCCATTTAGCGAGAAGGGGAAGCTGGACTGTACCATAGGTTCCTCTTTGGAGGGAAGAGCTTAAGAACAGAAGAACATGGCCATATTGGGTCAAACCAATGGTCCATCTAGCCCAGTATCCTGTTTTCTGACAGGTGCCAACTCCAGGTGCTTCAGCAGGAATGAACAGAACAGGTAATCATCAAGTGAATTCCCTATTTGCGGTTATTTATTAACCTATCTGCAGTGTTTAAAATTACACATATGGTTTATAAGGTTGCTTTAGCCTAGTGTATTCTGTTCCCACGTTCAGTTCCTTGCATTGATGGATTCTGTAGGCCAAATCCTACAGTCTTCCCCAGACAAAACTCCCACTTAAACCAATGACAACATTGGCTGTGTTAGAATTACATCATGTAGCCCATTGTGCTTAGCTTCAGAGCTCCATATGGCACAGAACTCCATAAATAGAAGAAGAAAAGCTCTGTGGAGCTCGAAAGCTTGTCTGTTTTACCAACACAAGTTGGTCCAATAAAATATATTATCTCACCTACCTCATTTCTCTCATATCGTGGGACCAACATGGCTATAACAATAACGTTGCACCATAAATACAGGCAATCAGGTTCCAGGCCTGCCTTTGCACGGTTAACCAAGTGACAGCATGGCACCCATTTTCAGTCAAGATGAATAGGTTGCTACTGATGGAGCTGTTGTTTCAGGCTGTAT